TGTCAGATATCCACATCAGCATGGGGTCTGAACTTAGCGCTTGCCTCCGAGTTGGCGAACGTCTGGTGCTGATTCCATGATGTGCTTTGCGTGACTGTGGCCCTGCGGCAGCGGCAGATGTGTCAGTCTGTCAGCAATCCACGGTGCTGATTCACTTCAACCTAGTGACCAAGTGTCCATTGGGTAGAATTGCCGGAATTGCCCAGCCTTTCCTCAGTTTGTGTTCCGCAAACTCTGACGTGGGCGGGGGTAAGGATTATGAGACAGGAGCAGTGTGTCGATGCGTCAGTTATCCACAGCACCATGTGGCCTGAACTTAGCTCTTGCCATCGAGTTGGTGAACGTGCTGCGCTGATTCCATGATGTGCTTTGTGGGATTATGAGGCGGCGGCAGTAGCAATTGTGTCAACCTATCAGGTTCCCACTGACTTTTGACTTCAACCTAGTGGCCGGTGTACATTTCCCAGATGTTCCCGAGCAGCCCAGCTGACCTTTCCGGTTGGTTTCGTAAGGGTTGCGAGGCAGTGGCAGCAGATGTGTCGATGTTTCAGTTCTCCACTTTTTCCACATTAGCATGAGGTCTGAACTTAGCCCTTGCTATCGAGTTGGCGAACATCTGGCGCTGATTCCATGTGCGCTGCACGATTATGAAGCAGCAGCGGCAGATTTGTCAGTCTGCCAGTAGTCCACAGTGATGCTTGCTTCAACCTAGTGACGTAGTGCTCACCGGGTTCAACTCCCCCTCGATTTGCGTTCCGCAAGCACTGACATGGGTGGGGGTCTCGTAAGGATTATGAGACAATGGCAGCAGATGCGTCAATGTGTCAATTATCCACATATATCCACATCAGCATTGGGTCTGAACTTAGCGCTTGCCTCCGAGTTGGCGAACGTCTGGTGCTGATTCCATGATGTGCTTTGCGTGACTGTGGCCCTGCGGCAGCGGCAGATGTGTCAGTCTGTCAGCAATCCACGGTGCTGATTCACTTCAACCTAGTGACCAAGTGTCCATTGGGCAGAATTGCCAGAGTTGCTCAGCCTTTCCTCAGTTTGTGTTCCGCAGATTCTGACTTGGGCGGGGGTGAGGATTATGAGACAGGAGCAATGTGTCGATGCGTCAGCTATCCGCAGCACCATGGGGTCTGAACTTAGCTGTTGCCATCGAGTTGGTGAACGTCTGGTGCTGATTCCATGATGTGCTTTGCGTGACTGTGGCCCTGCGGCAGCGGCAGATGTGTCAGTCTGTCAGCAATCCACGGTGCTGATTCACTTCAACCTAGTGACCAAGTGTCCATTGGGTAGAATTGCCGGAATTGCCCAGCCTTTCCTCAGTTTGTGTTCCGCAAACTCTGACGTGGGCGGGGGTAAGGATTATGAGACAGGAGCAGTGTGTCGATGCGTCAGTTATCCACAGCACCATGTGGCCTGAACTTAGCTCTTGCCATCGAGTTGGTGAACGTGCTGCGCTGATTCCATGATGTGCTTTGTGGGATTATGAGGCGGCGGCAGTAGCAATTGTGTCAACCTATCAGGTTCCCACTGACTTTTGACTTCAACCTAGTGGCCGGTGTACATTTCCCAGATGTTCCCGAGCAGCCCAGCTGACCTTTCCGGTTGGTTTCGTAAGGGTTGCGAGGCAGTGGCAGCAGATGTGTCGATGTTTCAGTTCTCCACTTTTTCCACATTAGCATGAGGTCTGAACTTAGCCCTTGCTATCGAGTTGGCGAACATCTGGCGCTGATTCCATGTGCGCTGCACGATTATGAAGCAGCAGCGGCAGATTTGTCAGTCTGCCAGTAGTCCACAGTGATGCTTGACTTCAACCCAGCGACCTACCATGGAGTTGGTAAACGTCCGGCACTGATTCCAGGGTTTGTGCATCGAGATGGTTAAGAACTTGGGCTGCTGCGCCTCCTGCTTCGGAGGTGCTGTATGTTTCCTGTGCCTTCCTCCTTCCATTCACGGGATCCCCGGGAGTGCTACCCGCGCAAGCTTTCTGCCCACTTTCGCGAATGTGTAACAGAGTGTGCCAACTTCATAGTCCAGCCATCGGGATCATAGCTGCCCTGAGAGCAGCGCGGTGCCGCCATGTCAGCGTCTTCGGCAGCAGCCGTGGCATGTGTAGGTAGCTCTTCTTGTGCCGCGTCTCAGGGTGACATCCAGAAATCTTTTCCGCTGCGCTTTGACCTTGGCACGGTAGCTGGCAAGTGATGCCCCCTGACGCAGTCTCGCGAACGCAGTGACATGTTGAGGTGAAGGAAATTTGACGCTTCTTGCTGTCCAAGCTCTCAACACGCAGGCCTCAACTTCCGCACATCCCAGAGCAGCTTCCGCGTGAGCCAGGGAGCTTGCCTCAGAGGTTTGTCGGTGAGGCTTGGGAGATGTCGCACGGCCCTGGGATGTCGGTGTAGCCCATTGTAGCCCTTGAGGAGGCAGGCTTGCGCTGAGACGCTGTCGGTGCAAGGTTCGACTGCGGAGCTTTCTGGGCAGAAAGTGTATCAAGGCAACCTCTAGTATCCGCTAGCCACCTATAGTAACCTATAGTAACATGTGGAAATGCACATCGATGAACTCGGAAGTGCATGCAGCCATGTGACTTGTCCTGCCGCGCCACGCAGCAGAGAGGCCATGTGGGACTGCGCAATGATTGCAAGCAGTCCGGCCTTTGTTGCCAGGGTTGATCTTCTCCAGGTGCCGCAACCTCATCAAGTAATCCTGAAATATCAAACTTCTGTGAGATCGGACGGCTTACTTTCCTTGGGACTTGCAGCCAGGGCAGAAGGCCTTGCACGACTCTCGCAAGCTTTGTCAAAGCTGCCTTATGGAAAGGCCCAAAGGTCAGATGAGCTGTTTCAGTGTTGCAGATGCCAAGCGTGATACGGATGGATGCACTTCACCACCACCGAAGATGGCATGCTTGCGGAGGCATTTTGCCTGGCAAAGGGCCAGCCCTGCCTCCCGGATCAGATGGTGCCCGTGCGCAGATTTGTGCTCATGGGCTAAAGTTCAGGACCCGAGACAGATGAAAGTTGCCTCCTTTGTGCCATACAGACACCGTCCACGTTCCTGTGCCTCCAAAACCCCCACCACTTTATACCACAAATTCGCCTGAAGCAGCTGTGCACATAAGTCCACTCACACATAGACGGGCAACTATTGCCCAAGTTGACTCCAATGCTCGGCCCCAACTATGAGAGCCTGGTGATGGGCAGCGTTTGCACGCGGGACTGCCTCATCATGACCATCCTGCTCTCCGCTGGAATGAACATATACCAAACGTTTAGACCACGATGTTGGGCTCTGGTGCCGGAGCCTTCCGGATTGGTTAGGGACCCTGCTCAAGTCGCAGGCTTTGTAGCCAATTTGAGGCTTTGCGGCGTGGTGCCACGCAATGCCAGGTAGGACATCACCGGCACCACTGCGCAAAACTGCTCCTCATCAATCCCTCGAGAGTTTTGGAGTTTTGAGCTGTGGCCCAGGCTGAGGGCTCACTACCTACAGTGGACTGTGACTGGACCTCTCACCAGCTGATGCAACCTCCTGAACCCGTGGTCCGCAGCGGCAATACACCCTCGATGTTCCTATGACTCGCAACGAAACTAGAGTCTGAGCAACCTGGCAGGAGCCTCCACCGGCCATTCTTGGGGTCATTGCAAAGGTAGAGACTTAGGTGGTCTGGGTATTGTCGGAACGGAGCTGGTATTTCTTGTGCAGACGTGCCATCAGGTAGTTGTGCCCTTGCTCACCGCTATCTTCCAGCCAGTGGGCAAAGTGCTCGCTGATCGCTTGGCCTTGCGCGGCTCTTGTAAGCTTGTCAAAGCTGCCTTATGGAAAGACTGAAAAACTCAAAGGTCAGATGAACTGTTTCAGTGTTGCAGATGCCAGTGCCGACCGACGGAATCTCAAGCGCGATACGCACGGATGCATTTCACCACCACTTAAGATGGCATGCTTGCGGAGGCAGTTTGCCTGGCAAAGGGCCAGCCCTGCCTCCCGGATCAGATTGTGCCCTTGCGCGATAGCTTGCTAAGCTTCCTTTGCTTCCCTGGAGTCCAACGTCTTGGTTTGCACCGGTGCCATGTCCGATGAACAGAATTGCATCTGAGGAATCGCCTCACACATTCAGCACTTGCGAGACTTGAGGTCCGCGCTGTGCAGCAGAGGCTCCACGTGGAATTGGCAGAGGCATCCTCATGAGATCGCAGCCGACAGTATGTTCTTGGATCAGAGTCGCCATTGTTGCTTGCATCTCGCTAGAGGAACATGAACCCCGGGCTCCCAGGGAAGCTTGAAGAAGCCTCCCGGAAGATTGCGTTGGCGACCATAAACTGAGAAGCCCGCTCTGCATTTGTAGATGGCATTCTAGCTTGTCTCATTTGTCTCATGCCAGGAAGCAGGGCATGACAAGCCGCAACAGTGCCATGCTCGGAACTGCCTGAGAGAAGTGAGGGCTTCCTTCAGACGTGGACAACCCGTACTTGGCAGAGTATGCCTAATACAAGCCCCGCGGGCGCACAGAGGACGGACGCGGTATGTCTGAGACAGGCGAGTGCGTGCGCATGGCCACGATCCACGCCGCAAGCTTGACCGCAAGCTTGCCGAAGAGGCCAGTAGTGATATCTCCTCCCAAGCCGCATGTTGTTGGGGTTCTCGGGCATGGATGCAGGCTCACAGAGGCTCGCAGAGGCTCGCAGAAGCTGTAAGCTTACAGATTTGCATCACGAGGCGCACATCCTAGCAAGGCGGCGATGCCGGCGAAGGCGACCCAGGACTCAAGGGAAGACTTTCCCCTGAAAGGGCATGATATCGTATGCTGCTCGAGCTCTCGTCCTTCAGACATATCTCGCGGATAGGAAAAGGAACGTCGTCCGTGCTGCACGACCTGTTTTGGTTTGACGCTGTCCAGCATCGGGGCGGTGTCCTGTAAGCCAGCAGAGCGGTTCCCTGTCGACCCCTGGGATCACTGTCTTGTCTCTTCGACCGCGGCGGTCGCCAATGCAATGGCTGTTGTTCCCCTACCCCTATGCGACAAGTGCGACAAGGAGTTCGAGAAGCTATTGCAATGTGGGTACAAAATGGCGTTCTTGTGCTTACGAGAGTGTCAGAACAATGCCTGGAAACGCCACAAGAACATCTGCCGCAAACGGAAGATTGGGACGACGTCGAATCTTTCCAGCAAGTTCGGCAAGAACTTCTCAAGGTAAGCAAGGAGGTCAATGCAGAAATGGTGTCCGTCATGCAAGCCTCCAATAGAGATTTCATGGCCTTCCTTTCTCAGGTGCAGCAGCGCAAAAAGAGAACCATCAGATTCTAGGAAGGCCCTTGGAACAATTTATATCTTCCCTCCATGGGTTTTCAGAGGACCATACTGAACTGAACCCCTAAACCCTAAACCCTAAACCCTAAACCCTAAACCCGAAACCCTAAACCCTAAACCCTAAACCCTAAACCCTACTTTCCAGAGGGTTTCAATGGCCATCCCAGGATACTTCGTGGTCGCCTGCGCCACTGCAGCTCGGTCAAAGAGGCAGAGGACGAGTTTGCTTCAGCCCTCCGGCTGGGCGAGGAGGTTCCGTCGGGACCAAAAGGGTTTAGGGTTTAGGGTTTAGGGTTTAGGGTTTAGGGTTTAGGGTTTAGGGTTTTTCACAAACAATACAACCAAGTAAATCACCAGTACCAAGTTCATCTCCAACAAGAAAACCATCAGAAGCACCACAACCACCAACAACATTCGCACCAGTACCAGCAAATTCTTGAAATTTTTAAAATTCGAAACACTTGCTGCACATGAAACATATTGGGTTGCAGATTTTTGCAATAATATTAGTATACCTGGAAATGTGATAAAGTATGGTTGTTTCACGATTTGTGTTGGTTCTGGTTCTGTTTTCTTTTTGGCATTTTTTACATCTCGCTTTTTTGAAAATATCTACAAACTTTTATTCTACAACAAATTGATTTATATTTCCCTTGATTGTATCAGTTGTCTCATTAAAATTTGTTATATTATGGATTGTTGAATAGTTTGATTACAAATATGGACTATATGACTCTGTTGCAGGTATTTCGTGGTTTATTAGTGGGGTTTAGGGGTTCAGTTTAGTTTCGAAGAGGAGTGCCTCGGGGACCAGATGAACCCTAAGCTTGGGGTCGTTGGGTTTAGGGTTTAGGGTTTAGGGTTTAGGGTTTAGGGTTTAGGGTTTAGGGTTTCGAGGTGCATTTGGTCCCATGGGAGTTGAGTTGTGTAAGGGGCCCATATTCCCTTATTAGGGCTGATCAAGGCTTGTCTGGGATTATTAAGCCCTTATTTGGGGAATATGGGGCCGTTACACGAGGAGTTGATGAAAGAGGTCATCATGGCGCTGCTGCAGCGAGGGATGTCCAACTCAGCAAGTGTTGATCAGCTCGATTTGGCCGACAATCATTTCCACGCAGGAATTCTCCAGCAAAACCCTCCAGAAGCCTCTTAGCCAATAGTTGAACGTTAAACTTTGGGTGCTTCCTTACTTACATTTTGTAGGAACAGTAAGGTTTAACCCTGTTTTCTCTAGGAGTTTTCACCCTAAACCCTAAACACAAGGCCTGTGCTCTACAAGATGGAGACCTCGATATCTTCGAGCCCGCAGTCCGGCGTGTGGCACGAGAATGGCTTCATCACAGTAGAAGGTCTGCTGGACCAGACTCGAGGATGGTGTCCAGTATTTCCTTGTTGGGTTTCTTAGGCGCAGGGTTTGGGGTTTGGGGTTTGGGGTTTGGTTTTTTGGGTTTAGGATTTCCCGTGATTTCCCTTTTGGATAGGTTGGGCGGTTGGGCGCCCTCTGGGGTTCTCTTGGTCCCCAAGGATGTAGTATCCGTATTATCTTTTTGAAAGGTTGTTGGGTTTCGGGTTTATAGGGGCCCATGTACATCCGAATAGGGCACCCTTCCTATTCCGGCAACCTAGGATCCGTGGGCCGTGGAGGATGGTGCGGCCTACAGAGTTTGCGTGGATGAAGACGACCGGGTGCTTTCCTCTCCCAGCGGCAACGGGGACGTGCCACTCAAGGATGTATTGCCAGAAGTCCGCTGCCTCATTTTTTGAGTCCAAGCGCCTGTGGCACCAGATCCGACCTCCCGACAAGAAGTTGTGGGTTCTCAGCTTGTTCGCATACGCCGAATGCAAAGAGCATCGGGCAAAACACCAGAGTACCCTTTTGGCTGCCTCACCATCGCAATCCCTGTATCCGACTGTTCCGTCTTTGGGAGGCCACAATGCTGCGGTAAGTGCCAAGGCGCCGAATTTGGCTGCTGCACCTGCCGTATCTGTTCTTCTGTTGACCTTCGCAATTGGCACACATCCTAGCACGGCGGCGATGCCGGCGAAGACGACCCAGGACTCAAGGGAAGAGAGCATCTCGGCCGATGACACCCCTGAACGCCAGGGGATGAGAAAAGGAACGCCGTGGCCGTGCCGCGCGACTTGTTTTGGTTCGACGCTGTCACGTAAGCTCTATACAACTTAAACCCTAAACCCTACAGCATACGGGCGGTGTCGGTTTAGGGCCTAGGGTTTAGGGTTTGTGCCGGAAACAGTCCTCGATGTTCAGCCGCTTGGGCGCACAATTGCGATTGGGGTTCACAATTCGGGAATACGCTCGAGGCCTTGGGAAATTGGAGTTAGCAGAACCCTTGCCCATTTTGGGTAATAATACCACCAGTCAACCCATTAGACGATTATTCCTATACTCCCCCCTACACCTCACCAACTATATCACTACTATTACCCCATTACCAATAATGCCAATACCAGTATAGGAATAACCGATTACCTCATCCATATAAGAGGATTATTCCTATACTCCCTACTACAATCCCCCAAATATCACCACTACTACCCCATTACCAAGACCAGTATAGGAATAACCAATTACCCCATCCATATTCCCGAAGGTGGTATTATCATCCCAAAGTGGGCAAGGCTTCTCTCATAGATTTTACTAGGTTTAGGGTTCAAGGGTGATGCGCATTATGCCTTGATGCCGGCTCAGGCGATTGCTCGACACAACAATATCAAGCAGCATGCTTGCAAACATGTGTGCAACACAAGCTGCGCGCACGGTTGTGTGTACCATGCAGACGTGATGTTGCAATTTCCTTTCTGTGCATACATAGTATGGCACAGCTAGCCGCTTCCAGCAATGCTGTTGCGAAGCGGGCAAGAATCGACGAACCCGATTGGGTATCCAAACTGGCGCAGGCAGAGTTAGAATTTTTATCATTTAAATATATATGGATCGGTATATAGAAGTAAAAAATGAGATAGAGAAACTTCATGATATAATAAAAACCCCAAGGTATAGAATGTGTTGTCGTAGTTTGTTGGATTTTCTTAAGGCATTCTGCTTTTATGTAAAAAATGTTAAAAGATGTAAATAATATAAATGAGCGATACAAGCGATGAAAGCTATAAGAAGAAAGGGTTTTTCATTAATTCTAAAGGTGTATCTTGTATCCCTTATAGGTGTAAAAAGCAATCTTATCATAAGGAAACGAAAACGGTCAAATAAAATGACATAATAACAACGAACATTGTGGAAGACGGGCATAATATGAAACTTGGAGCAACAGGACGACATGTATCACCCGATGACAACCACATATTCAAAAATGATAATCAAACAGGAAGCGTTGAAATATGTGATGCTGGTTTTGGAAGTCATGGTATAACACCCGAGGAATGCGAACAGAGAATAGAAATGACCGAGACAGACATTGAATGTATTAAGAAGGACATAGAACGATTGGAAGTAGAGATTGAAGAATGAAAGTTTAAAATTGATAAGAAAATTGTATAATAATATAAATTACAAGAAGCGATTTAAATTGTTGTTTGAGTTTTATCAGCTGGAAGAATTGCTAAAATAATGTTTTAAAGAGTGATTTACTTACAGTAGCGACAGCGCCCCATTTCTCCCATTTCCCCAGTGTGCCTTCCATAAGCACGTCATAAGAGCGTGGTAATGGTTAATTAGTTTGAAACAATGTTTATCATAATTAATGAACTATGATAAATATTGTATAATATTATAATATGACAATATATGTTGATAAGATAACCATGGATTTTAATACTGAGCATCAGCATCCCCATTGTGAAAGACAATGTGTTAGATGTACAAAGTTTAAACATTTAGTGCATTTTTAAGAGGTATTATTATTGTAAAACGGGTAGGTATTTAACGCAGTATAGAACCACTGTTACTTGCTGTGAATGTCTTGATAGTATGAAATCATACAATGATAAACGAAAAGAAGTCAGTTTCAATGATAAAAGGAAACGTGAGGTAAAAGCATAAGTATACTGTAATCACATTTCATAAGAGTTTATGGAATGTAATTCTGTTATGACTACAACCTTTGAAACTAAACCTAATAAAATCTATGAGAGAACCCTTGCCCACTTTGGGATGATAATACCACCTTAGAGAATATGGATGGGGTAAATTGTTATTCCTATACTGGTCTTGGTAATGGGGTAGTAGTGGTGATATTTGGGGGATTGTAGTAGGGAGTATAGGAATAATCCTCTTATATGGATGAGGTAATCGGTTATTCCTATACTGGTATTGGCATGATTGGTAATGGGGTAATAGTAGTGATATAGTTGGTGAGGTGTAGGGGGGAGTATAGGAATAATCGTCTATGGGGTTGGCTGGTGGTATTATTACCCAAAATGGGCAAGGGTTCTGCTAACTATTGGGGCCTTGTATCGGCCACGCCGAGTTTAGGGTTTAGGGTAGCCTGTGGAATTCTGAAGCACGAAAGTTTAACTTTTTGTATGTACACTTTGGCGAAGCTCAGAACGTCTTTCAATTGCTAGACATTCAAGGAGACCGAGCCGCTTGCGTCCAACAACACACTTGTTCGTTCACAATGACCGTGATTTCAGTCACGTAGTCTGGCATCAGGATTCAAAGACGATGACAATTTTAAGAGTTTCTTCTCTGCATACATGCCATTTATGTAGAGTCTGGAGTCTCGCAAGTTACCAAGCATTCGGACATACTTTTGGAACACGCTTTGGCTGACCCGAAGAATCGACTTGAACTGCTTGTGCACATAATCGTCGAGGTGAATGTGCAAGCTGAACATATTTGACTCCGACGTTCGGGCGTCATTATGCGTCGCTCCCCTCGACCCTAAATCCTAAACCCTAAACCCTAAATCATCTTTTGAGACTCGTGTACTAGATGTAGTTGTACAAGTACACGTGCTTTCAGGTAATCCGGCAATCCAACTTGTCGAAGTTTGGCATCTCCCTTTTTTTGGAGACCTTTTGGGTTTAGGGTTTAGGGTTTATGGTTTAGGGTTTAGGGTTTCGGGCGTTTAGGTGGATTGAAGACCGGAATAAAGCTTGCGCTTCCGGTGCTTTCGTGCTTGACGCGCGTAGTATTCCAAAGGTGCCGGTTTTGCACGTTTTCTGCACTGGCTCAACCCTGTTCTTCGGGAAGAACTGGACGCCACCTTAAGGCCAGCATCGAAAAACCGCTTCAACAGCCATGTTTTGACCAGCTCCCAGCATACCCTAAACCCGAAACCCTAAACCCTCAACCCTAAGCTCCTAACATTAGACACTAGCCAGAACTTTGAGAGTCATGGCCTCGTGGAGCCAAGCTTCGCTGCTGCTACCTGAAGCCAAGAAGTAAGTGTTCGAGCGTTCAGCCCCAAAGCCTAAACCCAAACCCCAAACCCCAAATTTAGGAGCCTCCGGCTCAGGCCGCCGACCCAAGAGGCCCGAAACCGCTCAACCCTCAAAGCCGGAAATTGTTGTTACCCTCAAGCCTAAACGCTAAACCCTACACCCCAAACCCACAACTCTAAACCAGGGGTCCTGCGAAATCTGGCACGATGTGCCGTGGTCCCTAAGCTAAGCTGCAAGCCCAAACCCCGAACGCGAGAGAGTCGACGGCCAGGACAGTCTGGAGGGGGGTGTGGGGGGGCTGTGGTGGGGGCGCTGCGGGGGAAAAAGGGGCAGGGGGGTGGGAAGGGGGGGGGCTGTGGCGGGAGGGTGGGGGGTGGGTGGGGGGTGGGTGGGGGGTGGGTGGGGGGTGGGTGGGGGGTGGGTGGGGGGGGGGGGGTGGTTTGGAGGGGTTGTGCCAAAGGAGCCTCTAGCTCCTGTGACGGATGCGTTTACGTCGGCGGAAAAATTGTGCACCGACCCCCCACCCCCCCCCCCGCGTTTTAAGGTTTTTGGGTGTAAGGGAGGGGAGGGGGGGGTTCCCTCCCCCAAAACCACCTCCCCCAAAACCATCCAACACGCCGCCAGGGTCGGCGGACCCCAAACCCTAAACCCTAAACCCTAAACCCTAAACCCTAAACCCTAAACCCTAAACCCTAAACCCTAAACCCTAAACCCTAAACCCCAAACCCGAACCTCTTTCTGCGTCGAGGCTTTATGTCTCAGTGGGTTGCGTGTTGGGCCTCGTGAGCTTGGGCTCATGGAGGCTTTCCGGTTAGGGCTTAGGGTTAAGAGTTTAGGGTTTAGGGTTTAAGGTTTTTACACCCTTGACCCTTAGCCCTAAATCGAGTTGTTGAAAGAGGTTGATGGCTTGTTCACGTCATCCCTTCGCCATAAATCTCAACCCGAGCCCCAAACCAGAACATCCCGACGTAAACTTCCAAAGCCTAAGCACTACACCTGGGGGAAGTTGTAAGGGGTTTAGGGTTTAGGGTTTGGGTTTAGATTGAGCATGGGAAGCCCGTGACTTGAAACCCTAATCGCAAACCCAATTTTACGTATTTTCCTACTGTATTCTTTGGGGTGTTCCCCTTCATACTAACAGTCCTTAGTAGGGATTCTAATTAGGGGGGGGGGTACGAAAATCCTGATTTAGGACTGTTAGTCTGAGGGGGAACATCCCAATGCATATATACTTATGAATGCCAAAGTGTTGCAGCCCTAGCCCCCCGAACTAGGGCTTAGGGCTTAGGGTTTCAATTCAGCATGATGTATTTGGGATGTTCCGCCCTTTATGCTAGCAGTCCTTACTAGGGATTAGAATGGAGGGTACTTATAATCCCAGTTCAGGGCTGTTAATGTAAGGGGGAACATCCCAATGTTGGATTTCCAAGGTTCTTCCTGGCACTTTCGCAAACTGCTGGGCAGCAATACAGCGTGACAGACCTATCTCTGGGTGGCCTGACGTCATTTGGCAGGATTTTTGTTCCTGATTCTGAAGCCTTAAACCCTAAAACCCCAGACCATATACCCCTAAACCCGAAACCCGAAACCCTAAAACCCCTTTAGTCCCTAAATGTTGATTGAGCCCTAATGAGCCTCTCATCTTCGACATGTCGAATCAACTAGATGGGAGCAAAGGCTCTAGGCTTCTTTAGGTCGACCAGACGTTTCTAGGGATTGAGGGTATTCTTATGGTTTCAGGCTGTCCCAGAGACTCGCCCGAAGCCAGGCCACTCTGCTTGTGCTCTCCTGGGTGGCGGCTACCTCAAGTGTTGGGGGAACTCGGCGTCTTACGAGCTCGGCCACGTGGATGCGCATTTGCCTTCCTCAGCTTGGGGAGAAGGTTTTTGGAGCATGTGATAGGAAGGCCCCCTAGTGCTCTAAGCCCTGAAGCCGAACATCCTGGAAGCCAGAATCAGCTTTGAATGGCCCAGAGAGGAAGGTTTGCACCAGAATCATTTCGAAGCGAAAGCCCTAAACCCTAACCCTTGGCGGCAGCCTTGTCTTCAATTCTGGAGAGTGGGCCGGCTTTCTGCAGTCGTAAGCAGACGCCTTCATTCCTTCCCTGGATTTCCCAGCCGCTAGGTATCTCTGCAGTGCCCGGCCTCCGATCATCCTGCTGATGTAGGAAATCACAGCTTAACCATGGTTTAGGGTTTAGGGTTTAGGGTTTAGGGTTTAGGGTTTAGGGTTTAGGGTTTAGGGTTTAGGGTTTCCCAAGACCCACTTACACCCAGCAGCTTCAAGGCTACGGAGACACCGTTGTCCGTGGTGATGCGGCCAATGAGATGGGTGACTTCCTGCCCCATGTGGATGTTCCTCGGGGATTATTAGCTTCAGTTTGCAGGTTTTGCCACTAAACAGGATCCTGTCTTTAGGGTTTAGGGTTTAGGGTTTAGGGTTACATCCTCTGCCTGCATGAGCGCATGCTGTACGTTGTACATGGTCTGGTATGCATGTCTTCCGCATGGGATCGGCACATACATAGTTGTACAGTGCTGCCTCAAGAATCCCGAGACTAAGCCTTAAACCCTGCCCCTAAACCTTAATACACCCTAAACCCTAACCCTAAACCCAAAACCCTAAACCCTAAACCCCAAACCCTAAACCCCAAACCCTAAACCCTAAGCCCTAAACCCCAAACCCGAAAGCCTAAACCCGAAACCCTAAACCCTAAACCCTAACAGCTGTTCGGCTTGTCGGGGACCGAGCAGCGGCTAAGGTAGGACAGAGGTGAAAGCTACTTCTTCAAACCTGTGAGGTTGGAACGGGCCGAACAGTGCAAGCCGTGGCCTACACCTGGGCATACACGATGTTTGTTGCCTGGCAAAGACAGACATTTGGTTTAGGGTTTAGGGTTTAGGGTTTAGGGTTTAGGGTTTAGGGTTGAGGGTTTAGGGTATAGGGATCCACAGGTTGAGGATATTTAGGGTTCAGGGTTTGGGGTTTAGGGCTAGGGTCAGAAGCCCAAATGAGCACTCAAGACGCCATATAGGAATAAAGCCCACTTCTTTACACTACCTCACCAGCCCCCTGCCCCATCTTACCATTTTCAGGGTTCTAACTTGCAGGACTTGGAAACCGTGTGAAGGTGATTTCCTACAAAATTGCGACTCTCACAGTCACCACAGCCCTGACCTAACATTACACCGATATCCCCCCCATGGTTTCAAGTTCAGGGCTGACCTTGGCTACTTCGGCTAACAGTCTAGGCCCACTTCAGGCGGTTTCCGCCATAGTTCCCCCAAACCTTAACCTTAAACCCTAACCCTAAACCCTAAACCCTAAACCCTAAACCCTAAACCCTAAACCCTAAACCCTAAACCCTAAACCCTAAACCCTAAACCCTAAACCCTAAACCCTAAACCCTAAATCCTAAACCCTAAACCCTAAACCCTAAACCCTAAACCCTAAACCCTAAACCCTACCTAAACCCTAAACCTTAAACCCTAAACCCTAAGCCTAAACCCTAAGCCTAAACCCTAAACCCTAAACCCTAAAAACGTTAAACCCTAAGCCCTAACCCTTAACCGCAAACCCATATGCCCCACAGGATTTCTGGGAACTCCCCTGTCCTTAAAGCAGCTTTAGGGTTTAGGGTTTAGGGTTTAGGGTTTAGGGTTTAGGGCAAGCTTGCGAGTTTTCGATGTTTGAGAGGGATCTGAGTTTGACAGCTCGAAAGCCCGACGGCCCGCAGCTCACCTCAACACGGACTCCAATCCTGAATCCCCTAAACCCTAAACCCTAAACCCTAAACCCTAAACCCTAAACCCTAAACCCTACACCGTACACCCTACACCCTACACCCTACACCCTACACCCTACACCCTACACCCTAAACCCTAAACCCTGAGCCCTAAACCCTAAACCCTAAACCCTAAACCCTAAACCCTAAACCCTGATTATCCCAACCTCAACCTCCAAACCTTAAGCCCTGAACCTTAAACCCTTAAGCCCCAGTCCCAGACTCTGAACTCAAAATACAGAAGTATTCAGGGATTGCACACAAAACATTTTTACAGAAATACATATAAGTCGTAAACCACTTTTTAAGGAAACCTCAATTTTCGAAATCCTAAACCCTAAGCCCCGCAAGGGCTTTTTCAGGTAAAACCGCAAGCGCCCTGTATGGAAACCCTCAACCCTGAACCTAAACCCTAAACCCTAAACCCTAAACCCTACACCCTAAACCCTAAACCCTAAACCCTAAACCCTAAACCCTAAGCCCTAAGCCCTAAGCCCTAAGCCCTAAACCCTAAACCCTAAACCCTAGACCCTAAACCCTAAACCCTAAACCCTGAACGCATCTTCGAGGTCATCTTGGACGATGGATCCTTGAAGGGTTGGGGAAGCCGCTGGTCTGAAAGACGTGTTTGGGATGTGGTGTGGGGGCTTCGGGTTTTAGGAGTTTGGAGTGTCAGGCTTGTAGGGTGTAGGGGGTTCAGGGGTTTCGGGGGGAAGTCTGCCAGAGTGTAAGGTCCCAAGCTTTCACCCTAGACACCTAAACCCCGAGCCCCATCCTAACCTCCTGAGGTCTCCTAAGCTTAAGTACCAGTCAGTCAGTCTTAGTGTTGTCTCGCTGGTGGTGTTTTGTTGAAACCTGAACCGTAAACCCATACAAGGGTCTGCCGCCAAAGCTCCGGATCAGAAGCAAGCCCCTGCACCCGCACGCCTCCAATACACCAGCGTGAAACCCCGCATGCTGAACAATTTTGAAGTATGCTACATATTTACATATATGTGCATATACGTTTTCTTTTCTGTATATATATATATAAATACATATATATATATATATACATATATATGTATGGCCATATGTATGCACATTGCTGTAGTAAACTTTTGCACGGTTGTTTGCCACAGCATACTGTAGTGCACGGTAGAGCTCCAAAAAACCAGTCAAGGCAACCCCAATGGTATGGTTGGCATTGGCGTCACCGACGTGAGTGTGGGCACTTCCCCCGGCGTCACTGGGCTCTCTTCTGTTTAGGGTTTAGGGTTTAGGGTTTGGGGTTTAGGGTTTAGGGTTAGGGGTTTAGGGTTTAGGGTTTAGGGTCCCAGGTTGGACCTTATTCAACGAAGCAATGATCGTGGACGATCTTTGTTGCCTGCCTTACTTGGGGGTATCTTGCGGCATTATCTCCAGCATCCTTTCCTGTCTTGGCACCCACAAAATGTGTGGGCTCAAACATCTTTGGACCTCTGAGTTGCTTTTCGCTGCTCTTATCCCTGAGCCCCCAAGAACCAGACGTTTGCTGTATAAGGTTGAGTTCTTGAATTGGACCCAAGCACCGGTTCAGGTTGGATTTCTGCTCGAAGCTCGATCGGGTTTCTGTCGGATTCTGGATCTGATACGTAGGCAAGGATGTAGTCAGTGGTATATTCGATACAAATGAAGTGAGGGTTTAGGGTTCTGCTAAACCCTAAACCCTAAACCCTAAACCCTAAACCCTAAACCCTAAACCCTAAACCCTAAACCCTAAACCCTAAACCCTAAACCCCAAACCCCAAACCCTAAACCCGGAAGCCCTGGGCCAGGCCATGGGTGATGCCCTCCCAGTGATCGATCTCGGTGTAGGGCGCACAGCGAAGCGGGTGTCTTCCGCGGCAAACCATGCTTGCACCCTGGTTCAAGTCAGGTGGTTCAGGGTTCAGGGGCTTGGGGTTTCGGGTTTAGGGTTTAGGGCTTGGGGGTTAGGGCTTGGGGTTTAGGGTTTAGGGCTTGGGGTTCCCGATCGGGTCATTGTTGGACCCCACTCGACTGCTTTCCCTCCCGACCCTGAAGCCCTAACCCTAAACCCGAAACCCTAAACCCTAACCCTAAACCCTAAACCCTAAACCCTAAACCCTAAACCCTAAACCCTAAACCCTAAACCCTAAACCCTAAACCCTAAACCCCAAACCTTGAGCCAAGGTGCTATCCTGGACGACGACACGCTGAAGTGCTGGGGGCGCGGTCTCGATGGCGGTCTTGGGCACGCTGGCCCCACAACTTGGAGAGGGTTTAGGGTTTAGGGTCTAGGGTTTAGGGTTTAGGGTTTTGGGTTTAGGGTTTAGGGTTTAGGGTTGAGGGTTTAGGGTTGAGGGTTGAGGGTTGAGGGGTTTGGGTTTAGGGTCTAGGGTTTAGGGGTGAGGGTATACCACCGTTGGACCTTTCTTGAGGATTTCTTCTTGCAGCCTGCTGTGTTTCAATTTGTGAAAGCCTAGACAGTTCTTTCCAGTCATGCAGCATCAAGCGCTCCACCAGTACGCAGCAGACGGACTACTATTCACGTCTAGTCGCTGCGTGTTACGATAGTATCTATGCCCAGTCCTGACGTCATCCAACCCCTGATTGTGCTAAAGACTGTGTGTTGGGATGTAGGTTCGAGGCATCCGGGAGGGGGCTCTAAACCCTAAACCCCTAAACCCTAAACCCTAAACCCTAAACCCTAAACCCTAAACCCTAAACCCTAAACCCTAAACCCTAAACCCTGAACCCTAAACCCTAAACCCTAAACCCTAAACCCTAAACCGAAACATGCATTGCCCAGGTATGGAGACACCACAAACAGAGGTGACAGCGCTGGCTCGATGGGTGCTAGCTTGCCGGAGACCAGCCGCAAGTTCATTTTAGGGGTTTAGGGTTTAGGGTTTAGGGTTCAGGGTTTAGGGTTTAGGGTTTAGGGTTCAGGGTTCAGGGTTTTGGGTTTTTTTTTGGGGGGGGGGGGGGGGGATTCAGGGGGTTAACCCAAACCCAAAGCCTCTTTAGGGTTTACGGGGTTGCCCTGAACCCGGAACCTGCAACTATAAGCCCTAAACTCTGAACCTGCAACAGGTCGGGTTCAGGGTTTAGGGTTTAGGGTGTAGGGTGGGGTAGCCTGCGAGTAAGAGATGGCCCCCGCCCCCCCCCCCCCCCCCCCCCCCCCCCCATCCCCTCCAGGCCTGGGACCCTGAACCGCAGTGGGATGTTTCCCCTTATACTAACAGTCCTTAATAAGAATCCCACTCAAGGACTGTTAGTACAAGGGGGAACATCCCAACCTTGAACTGAAATCCGAAACCCTCAGCCCAGACTAACAAGAGGCTCCCTTGAAGCCTAGAACCCCTCCATGCTAGAAATTCCTCACCAAACGTGTTTAGGGCTTAGGGTATAAAAAGCCTTACCCTAAACCCTAAACCCTAAACCCTAAACCCAGAACCCAAAACCCGAAACCCTGAACCGAAAACCCTAAATCCGGCCCCCGCGCCGCCCGTGGTCCAGGGCGGAGCCCGCGTCGCACTAAAGCGCTAGCTTTAAGGGGCGAGCGCCCGAGCCGCCGACCCCGCCCAAAATTGCTTCAAATTCGCGCGGGGCCCTTCGGGAGGCCTCCAAAACGGCATCCAAGGGGACGCAACACGCGGTGGTGCGAAAAGCACGAAAACCTCGTAAAAACCATGGGTTTTTACGAAAAACCGAGGCCACAAAACACCCGCAGCACCCCATTAAACCCTCACGGGCGCGCATCATCGGCCCTAGCTTTTCACATGGGGCGCGCGCCAGGCCGAAACCACGTTTTTCAAGGTTTGGGGGGGGTACCGGAAGCCCAAAACCAGGCGAGCATCATGAGCATCAGCAGCCCTGGCCCGCGGGCCCAAGGCAATAAAAAACGCTGAAAAACGCTGAAATCACCGTAAATACCGTGTTTTTATGAGGTTTTTCACGCGTGCCTCCGACCCCCACCCCTGTTGCCCTTGACCCGCCCCCAAAGTGCGCATCATCGAAACCCACGTCCGGGGGGGGGTCTGCTGATGCTGCTGATGCGCGGGGTCCGGGCGCATCATCGAGCCATCGCTTCTCTTGGGCTTCGTGGGGGGGTCCGGGCCCACGGCCCAGAGACCCAGCTGATGCTCATGATGCTCGGTTTGGGGGGGTGTTCCAACAGCAGAAAACCTCGTAAATACCGAGTGTTTTGTGGGTCCACGTAAAAACGCCCCTAAAATCGCTCATTTTACGCGCTCGAACGGCTTCGTGCCTACAAAACACCCGAACAGCAGGACCCCGAATGCCCTTAAGGGCATTCGGGGTCTTGCTTTTGGGGGTTTCGTGGGCACGCAAGCGTTCAAGCACATACAATCGGCGTGTTTAAGGGGGTTTTGGATGGCCTGGGGGAGGCCGCTGATGCTCATGATGCTCCCTTTCCTGGGCCCCAAAAGGCTTCCCAAGCCCAAAAACACGTGTTTACAGCGTTTTCTAAAGGTTTTTCGAAGGCAAAACGCATGCATAGAATGCTTTTAAGGCCCCCAAACCAACCCCACTGATGCTCCTGATGCGGGTGCGCGCGCGCGCGCGCGCGCGCGCGCGCGCGGGGGGGGGGGGGGGGGAAGTGGGGGGGGAAGGAGGGGGGGGAAGGAGGGGGGGAAGGAGGTGGGGGGAAGGAGGGGGGGGGGGAAGGAGGGGGGGGGGAAGGAGGGGGGGGGGGGGAAGGAGGGGGGGGGAAGGAGGGGGGGGGAAGGAAGGAGGGGGGGGGAAGGAGGGGGGGGGGGGGGAAGGAGGGGGGGGGAAGGAGGGGGGGCGAAGGCGGGAGAAAGAGAGACAGAGAGAAGGAGAGGACAAAGACACGGGAAAGAGAAGACAGTGCCAAGGTTCAAGGTTTCGTGCTTTGGGGGGCGGGGGCCGGCCCGTGCCGCTAGGCCTGAAATTTAAGAGCCTCCGGCTCAAGCCGCCGATCCCGCAGGAGAACAAGTTTAAGGTTTGGGGTTTGGTGATTTTGTTTGCGGTTGGGGGGGGGGGTGGGGGTGGGGGGGGTGGGGGGGTTGGGGGGGGTGGGGAGTTCGAAAGAGGGTTTTTTCCAAAAGAGCCCCTATGCCCTGCGCGAAAACGCCTATGGTCCATGAATTTACGCGGTGTGGGTGGCCTGTTCCTCCACGGAAAAGCTCACCTCCTTTTCCCATCCAACACACCGCCAGGGTCGGCGGATTCTAAGCCCTGAACCCTAAACCCTAAACCCTAAACCCTAAACCCTAAACCCTAAACCCTAAACCCTAAACCCTAAACCCTAAACCCAAAACCCTAAACCCTAAACCCTAAACCCAAAGTAAGACAATTGCAGCCTTGCGTGCCCAGGCAGTGGACCTCGGCACGGGCAAGCTGGCGCAGGAGGTGATGTGCTGCAAGCCATCCAACACGCCGCTCCTCCCTGTTCTGTGGGATTTCTTCCCTCCCCCGCCCTGAGTCCCAAGTCCCAAGTCCTAAGTCCTAAGTCCTAAACCCTAAACCCTAAACCCTAAACCCTAAACCCTCAACCCTAGGGCCCCAATCCTGAAACTGCTTTTCGCAGTTCAGGTGGAAGGGTTTCAGGTGTCCAGGCACGGGGTTGGGATGGCTTAGCTGCTTCGGGCCATACTTTGGCTTTTTCTTCTCCTAACTCTACAACCCTGCAAGCCTAAACCCTAAACCCTAAACCCTAAACCCTAAACCCTAAACCCTAAACCCTAAACCCTAGACCCTAAACCCTAAACCCTAAACCCTAAACCCTAAACCCTAAACCCTAAACCCTAAGCCCCGGATTCCGATGGACCCTTGGAGGAAGGGGTGGGGTCATGCTTGGGGGGTGTAGGGTGCGTACATGGGGGAATTCTGAAACTAGGGGTACCTTATTGGGGGTCCTTATTCTAAATATATTTAGAATAAACCATTGTTATTTTCATAAAGGAATCCTATTGTTTGGGAGTCTATGTTCGGGGCCCCGGATTCTCGTAAACCCCCACATCACTCTGGGCCCTGAACCCACAACCCTAAAATCTTCGGAAGAGGCTGAACACTTAACCCGAACCCTGAACCAGATTCTCTTGGAGTCCACTGCAGGGTTTAGGGTGTATGGTTTAGGGTTGAGGGTTTAGGCCTTAGGGGTTGTCTGTCCTTGCTTTTCAGGTTTTGGGGCTTGAGCGTTTGGGGTTTTTGGGGCTGTTTGGGGCTTAGGACTTTGTGGTGCTTTCCTGCAACTTTAGATCCTTAGCCATTTTGGGTTTCGTACTAAGGCAGCTAAGAGTTAGATTTTTTACTACTCTCCTAAGTGCAGCCAAGAAGAGGTTGAGTTGCAAGTAAGGGTTTGGAATAATCTTTCGTGAAACTTGAAGTAGGCAATCTGTTTGAGGGGCCTTAAACTCGAAACCTTAAACCTTAGACCCCTACCCCTAAACCCTAAACCCTAAACCCTAAACCCTAAACCCTAAACCCTAAACCCGAAACCCTAAACCCTAAACCCGCAGCTTCCCAGCACCCGTGGGCCGAGGTGCGTGATCCTCACTGACGGCACTGTGATGCTTGCCTCGGGTTTAGGGTTCAGGGTTTAGGGTTTAGGGTTTAGGGTTTAGGGTTTAGGGTCTAGGGTTTAGGGCCGCCTTACCAGGATGGGCTACTAGGCCATATAATCCCCATCAATCAGCCCTTTATTAGGCCGTTTTTAAGGGATTATAGGGCAAAATTGCCCATGGTGGTAACACGACCTCTACTCTGAAAACCTAAGCCCTAAGCCCTAAACCCTGGAGAGCTGGGAGGGATTTGGGGCTTGGGAATTTTTGATTCGACCGAAAGCGTTAAGCCCGTAGATTCCCGAACCCTAAACCCCGAAACCCCTTTAGGGTTTGGGGTTTAGGGTTTAGGGTTTAGGGTTTAGGGTTCAGCCCTAGACTTCTTCTCAGCTTGGGCGTTGAGGTTTTGCAGTGTGGGACTTTCGAATCTCAGAGCCCTGGCATCTGACTCGGATATCGGTGTCCGTGACAGATGTGGTTGCTTTCTCAAACGTAGGGCCCCTAACCCTCAACCCTAAACCCTAAACCCTAGACCCGAAACCCTAAACCCGAAACCCTAAACCCTAAACCTTAAGATGGGCACCTGAGGAAGTGCTTCGGGAGCAACGTCTATGGACAGCTGGGTTATGGAGATACAGAGACTCAGCTGGCCCCGTCAGCCGTTTTCTAGTTTCCAGTAAGACTCGGTCAGAGGAGTTTTTAGTGGGTTGTACTCTGGTAGTGTACCAGAAGTTAGACATGCCCAAATATGTGTGCATGTATGTACAAATAAATTCATGAATAAATCAATAGTATGTATGTATGTATGTATGTATGTATGTATGTATGTATGTATGTATGTATGTATGTATGTATGTGCGGTCACTTCTCTATATTCTCGTCCTTCTCGGGCTTGTGCTGTTATAAGGTGGCCACTACTAATTCCCCCCAAAAAAGGCCATATATACTGCTGAGAACTGACCATATGTGAATAGAGGTACTGTGCTCGCATATATTTCTTCAACACTGCATTAGCCGCCACAAGTTACGGCGAGTGCTCAGACTCTCAGGGACGGTCTCCGCCCCGGTAGAAGATTCACAGGCCCTGGGACTCAAGCACCCCTAAACCCTAAACCCTAAACCCTAAACCCTAAACCCTAAACCCTAAACCCTAAACCCTAAACCCTAAACCCTAAACCCTAAACCCTAAACCCGCAACCCTAAACCCTAAACCCTAAACCCTAAACCCTAAACCCTAAACCCTAAACCCTAAACCCTAAACCCTAAACCCTAAACCCTAAACCCTACACCCTAAACCCTAAACCCTAAACCCTAAACGCTAAACGCGAAGCCCTAAGCCCTAGACCCAAAACCATACAAGTTCTACTGTAAACGGAAGCCATGACAGCGGCACTTCAGAGATTTTTCCCTGGGGGCCTCCAAGGTCAGCCTTCCCGAAGCCCTAGACTCTAAGCCCTGAACCCCCAAACCCTAAACCCTAAACCCTAAACCCCCAAACCCTAAACCCTAAACCCTAAACCCTAAACCCTAACCCCTAAGCCCTAAACCCTAAGCCCTAAGCCCTAAGCCCTAAACCCTAAACCCTAAACCCTAAACACCGAACCCCAAGACGACTCGTGGCGACTCTCCCACCAGCATGGGCGACAATTTACCGGCTGTGGACCTGGGGACGGGAAGGCCGGCAATCAAAGGTCCTCTGACAAGGGTTTATGTAAGGTTTAGGGTTTAGGGTTCGTGGTTGCGGCTGAGGGGGTTTGGGGTTTAGATGTGTGATAAGGGGTTCGGATTTCAGAGCTTATTCTGAATATTAAGACTTTCGGGCCTTTCGTGAGCTGCATGGATTTTGAATGGGCACCAGGAGCTCGAGTGCTCTAACAAGCTATCTGCGTGGCCCCTCCTCTATGGACAACTGCACGTTAGACCCGTTGCCGCACGGAGTCCCTGTCCTGACTGTAGAGCTCCTTAAACCCTGATCCCAAGCTGTACATTCTAAACCCGAAACCCCGGCAGAGCTTACCTTAAGTAGAAGCCATGGCCTTTCAGCGGCTTCTTGAATTTCGGGACTTGATGGCCCCATACTAGCTACCCCTGAAGCCTCGATCTTTCTTTGAGCTTCGGAAGCATGCAGGGGAAGCATGGGAAGCAGCCCAACCCCTGGAAAATGATGCACCCCTCTGGGGGGCCGAGAGGGGTCCGGGGGGTCCCAGAAGCTTGGGTGTTCGGGTTTGGCTCCGGTGCTACCGACCTCCGAGCTCTGGGAGGCGAGCGACCGATTGCGCCATGGAGGTCGGTTTTACGCCTTTTGGAATTCAAGGTTTGGTTTTTTTTTGGGTTAAAGGTTGGTTCGTTTATGATTTGGTTGTGTGGAGATTTTTGGTCCCAGGGTTGGGGTCTCAGGGTTTTGGGTTTAGGGCTTGGGGATTTAGGGTTCTTTTTTGAGTTTTTGTGTCAACATGGCAGGACCGCGCTGCAGATAGGCTGTGGCTATGAGGTCCACTGCGCTCTGCTGGACAATGGCGCCGTGAAGTGTTGCTCGTCTGCCAGGGTTTAGGGTTTAGGGTTTTTCCCTGTACGATCCTGTGAGGTCATCTGAACCACTCATCCTATATACATTGGAACACAGTCTGTCAAGCCGCTGTTTTGCTCCCGTTTCATTGAGCACATATTTGGGATCCTTGCACAAAGCATGATATCCGTCCTGATGAATCTCTGCGGTTTCCTCTGCGAGATTCCCTAATCAAAAACAAGAGGAAAAAGCACAAAGTCTTAAATCTTCGCACCCATACATGGGGTAGCTGTAGCTGTAGTTTTTGGCTGGATGTAACCATCTTCCGGGCACTTCTTACAACTATATTCTATCACGGAAGCCCATGAAAGCCTTCAAGCGAACCTTGACAAAGGTTGGGGTTATGGACTTTATGGGCTTTTGGGTCAAGAGACGGAGACGAACGCGGGCAATTTGGCGAACACAATGGGCGACTTCCTGCCACCCATTGATGCTGGGCCGGCCAGTCAGGGGTTGAAGAAACCCTAAGCCCTAGCTTAAACCCCTCAAAAGTAGGGTGATATGTGCCCAGGTGAGGTTACAGGGCTAAAACAAACTATAAGCAATGATAACTAGCTTCGCCCTACGTTTTAGCTCGGGCATAGCAACTCATGAACCTCCAAGTAAGTCCCGACATGGGGCAGGCAACAAGGAACCTAAAGTTCATATTGCCACACGTTCTCTGACATGACTCTTGGGTTTCAAGGGGAGCACGGGTTAGAGCTGTTTTGGGGGGCTGAACCCTCAACCCCGAACCCCAACGAGGCCTTTGTACGGGGACTTGCGCTGTCGGGAACCACTCGGAACGATGGCAGGCAAGTCATGGCCCTAAACCCTAAAACGCTAAGCCCAAATCCCTAAACCCTAAACCCCCTCCCAAATCAGAACCCCAAACCCCTACATTGCGGTAAGGGCGGGGAAGCCCCCCCCTGCCACTGTTGCCGCAAGGGCAACAGAGGGAAACCTCTTTTTTGGGGGGGTGTAGGGTTTAGGGTTTAGGGGTTGCCAGTGCAGGACCACACGTGCACTCCTGAGCCCTCAGAAGCTTACTAAGCCCCAGACCGGACTCCTGACCCCTAAACCCCGAAACCCCCAACCCCCAACCCCCAACCCCCAACCCCTAACCCCTAACCCCTAACCCCTAACCCCTAACCCCTAACCCCTAACCCCTAACCCCTAAACCCTAAACCCTAAACCCTAAACCCTAAACCCGAAGCTATCTGAGCAGCCAAGAATCTTGGCACCGGTCGGACAGCGACGTCGATTGGTGTCGCCGGATACATGGTCTGCGCCATCTTGGACAACAGCGGCTCTTCTTCATGGAGGGGTTTGGGGGGTTTGGGCAACAACCGCAGAACCTTAAGCCCTAAGCCCTAAGCCCTAAGCCCTAAGCCCTAAACCCTAAACCTTAAGCCCTAAACCCTAAACCCTAAACCCTAAACCGCACCCGTGAACCCCTATTTTGCATCCCTTACTTCAACAAGACCTGAGCCCTTAGACACGCGAGGCCCCATAAGCCCAAGCGCAGGTGATCTGAAGTGCTGGGGAGAAGGCACGTCGGGCCAGTTGGGGTATGGTGCCTTGGCCCAAGAGCGCAGAGTTCTATTTCGGGTTTCGGGTTTAGGGTGTAGGGTTTAGAGTTTAGGGTTTAGGGGTTGTTGAGGTTTCGGTGGATGCTTCTTTGTACGGTCGGTCGGCTAGCTTTGCTTTTTCGGCTCTCAGCTTGGGCGTGGAATATCGGGATGCAGAGCCGTGCTCGGATTGCATGGTATACTAGACTGTAGGTTATACGATGCTGCAATCTTCATAGAACACTAGAGCTACACTAGTAGTACCCTAAACCCTAAACCCTAAACCCTAAACCCTAAACCCTAAGCCCTACTTCGAGACCCTAAACCCTGAGTGCTTGCGTCCCTTGCTTGGCAACGTTTGTCGTGGTCGTAGGCCATTGCGTTCGATCTTCGATGCTGTAGAAAGCCAGCCTGAGGGCCAAGGGTTTAGGGCTTAGGGTTTAGGGATTAGGGTTTAGGGCTTAGGGTGTGGGGGTCGAGGGTCCACACCAACAATGCAGGGGGTGTCGGGGTGGTGTTTGGGAGGTGAAGGAGTTGGGGTTCAGGGTTTTGGAATCTAAACCCCCCCCCCCCCCAACTGGCATTCCATGTGCTAGTGCTGCGCTTAGCTAGCCACTACCCTTCATTAAGCTTTTTTGATGACCCTTATTCAGCTAAGGGGATGTTAGGGGGGATGACCCTAAACCCTAAACCCTAAACCCTAAACCCTTGTAGGTGGTAGTTAGGGGGAGAGTTGAGGATCCCGTGCCTCCTATCCCTTCACCACCAGGTTGGAAGGATCGAATATAGTTCACCTTTAGGCGTTAAGGGCTTAGGGCTTTGGGTTTAGGGATTGGCTCGACTCGAAGGGGTTTAGGGTTTAGGGTTTGGGGTTTAGGGTTTAGGGTTGCTTCTGAAGCACTCACAGTCTTGTCAGAGCCCACACCGCTCTGGAAGGATGTAGTGCTGTGCTTGGACTTAAGAACTCATGTGTGTAAGGAGTTGCTTTAGCGTCTACTTGGAGGTTTAGGTTTAGGGTTTGGGGTTTAGGGTTTAGGGGGTTTAGGGTTTAGGGTTTAGGGTACTTACTAACCAATTATAACTGTACTTGTAACCCACTTGTAAGCCCCTTAAGTGCCCTAGTATGGTTGTAAGTGCAGCTATAAGTGCAGTTCTCATTGGTTAGTAAGTACCCTGAGCCTCCAAGTAGGGCACGCCTCCTGGATTCCGAGGTGATGCATCGCGGCGAGGGTCATACGCAAACACCATGGGGGACTTCTTGCCAGCTGTAGACATGGGTACAGGCCTGGCAGTTCAGGGACTTCGACAAGAAGCATCCGCCGGGGGGGGGGGGGGGCTTCTATCAGGGGACCCTTATTGTCGTAAACCCCCAAGTGAGCGACAGCTGGTGAGAGTTGCTCCTTATGTTTAACCCGAGATGCGAACCCTGCCGCAGCATATTAAACCCTGTAAACCCTGGAGCCTCTGACCACCCGCAAGTTCTTTTACCAAGCCTACAGGATCTAATTTGTGCAGAGCCCATGCAGCGTCATAGAATTTTGCTTTTGGTAAGTCGGGCCCCCAAAACCGCTAAACCTGTCCTTTGAGAGGCAGGACAGCCACCAAAGTGCGATGTGGCAACCTCTACTGGGGATGCGCAGCTACTCGACTCAACAGTTCGGACTTTAGGGCCTTTCTAAAGCTCGTTTTTGTTTGAAGATGGTTCGTGTTGTGGAGGCCGCTTTGAGGGCTCAGGGTTCAGGGGTGTAGGGTTTCCGGTTTTGGGCTTACGGGCCGGTTTTGAGGGTTGAGAAGTTTAAGGTTTTGTGGTAAAGAGGTTCCTGCTTTGGGAGTTCGGGTGTGTGAGGGTTGAGGGTTGAGGCCTGTAGGGTCGGTCTTTGAGGGGTTGAGGGCGCTGCAAAGTGTCCGCGACGGGGGTTTAGGGTTTAGGGTTTAGGGTTTAGGGTTTAGGGTTTAGAAAGGGTTTAGGGTTTAGGGTTTATATAGGGTTTAGGGTTTATATAGGGTTTCGGGTTTAGAGTATGCCAAGGCCCCCCCACTTGAAACACCACGGACCCTGAGGCCATAGTGGAACAAATTCCTTCACGATGAGGGCCATTGCCGACTCAGCCCTCGACGAAGAGTAGAGAGTAACGTTAATCCGCTTGTGACGAACTTCGGGTTTAGGGTTTAGGGTTATAGTTTAGGGCAATATGCCAGATCTACTTATAGCATCGGAAGTAAAGCGATGGATGCATCGAAGACTTCCGCCGCAGCTCCGGAAGCAGATGTGGTACTGTGTTTCGTATACATTACACGGCTTGCAGTATACCATGTAAAGGGGCCATAAGTCCTAAACATCCTTAGGCATGGTCTGAGACCCCTCCCTTCCTGTGGTCCGGGGATAAAGCGGTTCTGGGGCAAGGTTTGTCGGGTTCAGAGTGGACACCGCAAGTTTCAGGGTATAGGGCTCTTTCCCCTCCTCCCTCCCTCCCTCCCTGCGGTCTGGGGTGTTCGTTCACATTTGAGAATGTGGGTTGAGGAGAAGAGGTTGGGGGTCGAGGAGCGCAGGTTTCTGGAGGTCTTGGGCCCGACCTTCCCTCGATAAGGTTCTTGACGACGACAGCGTGAAATGCTGGGGCACCGGTGGGGCGCAGCAGGGCCAAGGACGGGGTAGAAGCTACGTGGGGGGGGGTTTAGGCTTTGGAGTTTAGGGGTTTAGGGTTTGGGGTTGTGGTGCTGAATTCTCTTATCGAGTTTCTTCCAAGGAGGGGGAGGAAACGCACAAGCGCTTTTTACTGCTTGACTAGTTTATGGCCTGCTTACGCCGCCGTGGAAGGTTTGTCGGTTTCTGAAAATGGGGGGGTGGTGGGGGTGGGGTGGGGGGGGGGTGGTTGCGTGCGCAACACGCGAAAGCCATGTTACTTGCTCGCTGCGACGTTTTTTTGGTTTAGGTCGACCAAATGAGCGACTGGCTAAATCCCGCGGTTCTCTAGGTAGGCTTGGGCGGGACATTTGCAAATTGGAGCGGAACACCCTAAACCCTAAGCCCTAAACCCGAAACCCGAAAGCATGTACTGACGGTGTTTTCTTCACCTCCTGACAGGTGCTACTTGTTGGCTTTGGCTGCCGACCGTGCCCGGAGTGTGCCCGTTTGCCTGGGTTTTTGCGCGTCAGACAGCCGAAAAGCATGGCATTGGCATCGTTTTTGCTTGCTTTCCCGCGGCCTCTGAGCCCAAAGTCCCAGAGACCTGAACCTAGACCTTCACCTCCGTCCCTCCCAAAAAATGAGAGGACAAAACATGTTGTTTTGCACATTTTTGCACCGCGCTCTCGCCTTCCGGACGCAAAATGCTGAAAATCGACAGTTTTCGCAACGCTACGAAACCCCACGCAGGCCGATTAATTTGTGCTTTTTGCAGATGGATGTTCTGTCTTCAACCAAGTGATGCCCTTAAACCGCGAAGTCTAAAAAATACCTCTTAGCCCACGTCTGCTACGCTTTTCCACGCATACCGCTTTAGGCCTTTTCCATGCGACGTCTCGGATTCACTGGTTTAGGGTTTAGGGTTTAGGGTTCAGGTCATGGTGCCACCGCGGGTCGTAATCGGTTTGAACCCACCCAGTCTATCTTTACTCATTCTGGCATTGTTCGAAGTTCTGGGTGCTTCTTCGTACCCTAAACTCTAAGGAGTCTAGGGCGTTCCTGTCTGAAGTTCGTAGATGCAATATATGAAATCTTCATCCTCTAGATTGGGTCCTTCTTGGGTAAATGTTGAAGACCACAAGCCCAGAAAGCACGCGAAACCAGATCTTGAATCGCCACACTCGAATCCCGAACCCTAAACCCTAAACCCTGAACCCTAAACCTTAAACCCTAAACCCTAAACCCTGAACCCTGAACCCTGAACCCTGAACCCTAAACCTTAAACCCTGAACCTTGCAACATCTGGAAGCCGTGAGTTATCGAAGCGTGCGTTGCAGGAGACACGTCGCTCCGTGGAAGTTCAAGTGGCTTGGCCAGCTAAGTGAGCATGTCCTCTATCGTACACACTGCCCAAAGTACACCTGAAGTCCTTTATAGTTATATAGTTCTCTAGTTCTACAGTTATATAGTTATATAGTTATATAGTGATATAGTTATATAGTTATATAGTTATATAGTTATATAGTTATATAGTTATATAGTTATATAGTTATATAGTTATATAGTTATATAGTTATATAGTTATATAGTTATATAGTTATATAGTTATATAGTTATATAGTTATATAGGTATATAGTTATATAGATATAGTTATATAGTTACATAGTTATAGAGGTATAGAGTTATGAGTTATAGAGTTATAGAAATTTAGAGTTATGGAGTTATAGAGTTAAAACGTTATAGAGTTATAGAGTTATAGAGGTGTAGGGCTATACTTGGATGTTCATGGGACTTTCTAACCACTTATGACTGGGCTTATAACCCTACTTATAATAGGGCTAACCCCTACAAGGCCCTTTAGGGGTTTTCTAAGTGGGGTTATAAGTACAGTTATAATTAGTTAGTAAGTACCATGAACCTCCAAGTAGAGTTATAGATTGTTCGAGTGATAGAGTTGTGCTATATATAGTTATATACAGTTAAATATAGTTAAATATAGCTAAATATAGTTATATACAGTTATATATAGTCATATATAGTTATATATAGTTATATATAGTTATATATAGTTATATATAGTTATATATAGTTATATATAGTTATATATAGTTATATATAGTTGTATATATATATGTATTTCTATATACTTGTTTCTAGTTTTATATAGCTCTATATAGTTATGTATTCTATAGTTATATAACTTTCTTTGTATGTGTGTATATATAGTTATATACAGTGATATAGTACGCAATGCCCAAAAGAAACCTTAAACCCTAACCCTGGAGCTCCAAAGAAGGGGGGGGGGCGATGAAGCCTGGCAGCCCCCATTGTCTTTTCCAAGAACCGATAGGTTGAGTTGGTTCAGGGTTTCGGGTTCAGGGTTTAGGGTTTAGGGTTTAGGGGTTTGGGGTTTGGGGTTTATGGTATAGGGGTTTGGGAACGAGGGTTTGCCAGGTAACACAATGGGAGACTTTCTACCTCCAATTGATCTCGGGACGGCCCCTGTGACAGTGACGCCTGGCCGCACCGGGTGCTGCCCTAGTCCTCTTAAGATATACACATCCCAACATACTACTCCAACATACCCAACCTGAAGCCCTACAATCCTAAACCCTAAGCACAAAAAGCACACGCTCACACGCACGCACGCGCTTATGCACGTGCGCACGTGCCAACAACATGCACGCACGCACAACGCGCACTGGCGCGCAACACGCACACACGTGCAACACGCACGCACCCGCGCACAACACGGACAGCAAGCACGCACGCACGCACAGCAGGCACGCAAAGCACGCACGCACACACAACAGGCACACACCACATTGTGGGCACGCAGGGCATCTCTGAGCCAGGCGCAACTGAACTGCGCATTTTAGATGCGTTGTCACCCGGCATGAACATGGCCAAATCCAAACCGGCACGTTTCATCACGTTTCCACCAAGCGCATCACAGCAAATGTGGCAAGTGGATGCTATACTTGTGCCTGATCCTCCTGCACTGAGTCCACGCTTCATCAACCACAGCTTGCACCGCGTGGGACTCCATTGCATTGGCTCAAGTTTGGAGCTCAACTTAAAAGACGTCTGAACCCTATCGGCACTTGCGAGCTCCTGGGTGCCTGGGGCACAGCTGGGGGGGGGCCTTTGGTGCCGCCCTTGGAACACGTACACGTGCACAACACGCACGTGCACGCAACACGCACAAACGCACAACACACACGCACGCATGCACACAGGCACAACATGCACGCACTCACAACACGCACGCATGCGCAAAACGCATGCTCATGGCACGACACGCGCGCACGCGCGCGCATGCAAGCGTACGCACGCCCACGCACGCGCTTGCACGTACACACGTGCGCACGTATATGCACATGCGCATGCACACACACCAGACCTTAAAGCCCGCCTTATCTCAAACTCTGGTACCTCCCCATGAGCTAGAAATGGTTCAGAATAGCATCATGCTGTGCCACCTAATCAGTAGATGATTCCGTGAAAAGCCGTGCAGATACGCCAAGACCCAAAGCCCTCTAAACCGTGACTACACCTTCATATTTCGGTCCACCAAGCTGGAGGGATGCTCATAATTCTTCGGGCTTGTTTCTGAGTTGTTGGGGGGTGGGGGGTGGGGCGGGTTTAGGGTTTAGGGTTTAGGGTTTAGGGTTTAGGGTTTAGGGTTTAGGGGTTGTGGTGTGTAGGGTTGCCAGGACGACCACTACGCTGACAGCAACGACCTCGACCAAGACCAGTGTCACAACCACAGGTTGGGTTGCAAGAACCCTAAACCCTGATTCCTGAACCCTTTGAACTCTTACCTCAGACCACAGAAGTCCACAAACATCAAAGAGAGCAGTCTCTGTTGCCTACGTCCATGTGTGTGTGTGTGTGTGTGTGTGTGTCCTGCTTTGGCCTTGCTGCCGAAACGCTTTGGTTTCGAGGGGGGCGTTCGGGGTTCCGGGTGTTCTGGAATCAGAGCCCCAGGCACCACTTCGAGTGGTACCATCACTAGCACCAGCACCTGGACATCAACATCCAGCTCAACCAGTATATCCGCCACAAGCACCGTTACATCATCAACCACCGAAACTTTCAGCAGCACGAGCAGCAGCACAAGCATCACGAGCACCGACACCACGACTTCCAGCAGCACTACCGTGAGCAGCACCACTTCCAGCAGTGCTACCGCGAGCAGCACCACAACGAGCAGCGCTACCGCCAGCAGCACCACAACGAGCAGCGCTACCGTGAGCAGCACCACAACGAGCAGCGCTACTACGAGCAGCACCACCACAACCAGCACTTCCGCAAGCAGCAGTACAACAGGCAGTGCTACGTTCAGCAGCACCACAACAAGCAGCACGAGCTTGTCCATAACCACGAGCAGCTCCGTGACCATCACCTCCAGCAGCAGTAGCAGCAGCAGTAGCAGCATCAGCGGCACTACGTCCACGACTGTGAGCCAGACAACGACGTCCAGAAGCACCAGCAGCTCCATTACAAGCAGCTCCAGTACCAGTAGCAGCAGCAGCAGTAGCAGCAGTAGCAGTGTCAGTGGCACTTCATCCGCCACCTTCACATCCACATCCACGAGCCTGTCATCGACTCGTAGCTCAAGCAGTTCCGCCACAATCTCCTCAACTGGAACGACGACACCCGAATCTGGGCTGAGCAGTTTTGATCCTCCATGAGCCTCCATGTTTTCCTTTGTGTCCTCGTTGGTTTTAGCAACCCTAAACCCAAAGAAGCCAACAAGCGCGACAGAATACACGCGATGCAGGAAGGAAATACCACCACGACCTCGGTCACACCGTTAAACCAAGAGGAGCTGCCCTTGTCCAGGGTTTAGGATTTAGAGGGCGTCGACGGACAGAGGGCATGTGTCACAATGTGCTCGGGGCTTTCATGGAGCTGGTTTCGAGTTTCCGGGCGTTGTGGGGAGGGGATCCAGTGTTGGCGAAATGGACACTGTGAGCAGCCATGCTTTAGACCTCCCCCCAGACTTTGTTCTTATCGAGCATCAATATCGACCACCGAGCATCGAACCAGCATCAAATTCAGAGCCAGTACTACTCAGCCCTAAACCCTAAACCCTAGCAGAAAAGGACGCCGTGGAGGCCTGCGTTTTGTAGGTTTAGGAAAACATAGGTTGTCTCCAACCCTAAACCCTATGGCGCGGCCGCCTTCACGAAGATTCCTGGTTTTTCTTACCTCCAACAAAACGCTAACACAAGAGCAGGGGGAGCCCCACATCCTTCGCGCCCAAAGCACTGAACCTGCTGCTGCTTGTTGCTGTTTGTGATGGCAGGGTGGGCATAACGTGGGCGTCTGGAACACTGCACCAAAAACCGCCTCAGTCAATCTCCAGCAAGGCTAGCCTTCGATCATCGAAAAGCATCTTATTCTGGCTGGTTTAGGGTTTAGGGTTTAGGGTTTAGGGTTTAGGGTTTAGGGTTTAGGGTTTAGGGTTTAGGGTTTAGGGTTTAGGGTTTAGGCCAGCGCTCTCTGAAAGGGTACGAGGGTTTTCCAACAGCAGCACAACGACGACAAGAAGGCAATCTCCAGAACCACAGTGACATGAGGCCCGTTGCTTGGAGGCTGCGTTCAGTGGAGTTCGTTTTTTTTCCACGACGTCCCCGTCTTCTCACTGTTTTGCCTTCAGGGCCTGCTGCAGAGGTGAGTACTGGGGGCTACAAAAACTCCACCCCCGCCCCCCCACGCCCCCCCGCCCGACGCTCCCCCGAACTATTCCAGGAGTTCGACAAGCTTGAGCAGCTGCGTGAGGACTTTGCCCCGAAGCCCTAAGCCTTCAAACCCTAAACCCCAAAGCCCTAGACCCTAAACCCTGAGGCCCTGAAGCCCTAAATTTCCTGAACCCCCTGAAACCCAAACCTAAACCCTAAGCATCCCCAAGCCCGAAGCATCCCTGAGCCCTGAGCCTAAGCATCCCCCAAGCCCCCAAATCCTAAACCCTAAACCCTAAACCCTAAACCCTAAACCCTAAACCCTAAACCCTAAACCTCTCTTTCATATATAATTTAAATGTTAAGGAGTTACTGGGCAAGGTCATCTTTTTACTGGGCAAGGTCATTTTTTTCTGGGCAAGGTCATTTTTTTTACTGGGCAAGGTCGTTTCGTCCAAAAAACGACCTTGCCCAGTAAAAAAATGACCTTGCCCAGTAAAAGAACTAACCTTGTCCAGTAAAAATGTTACTGGGCAAGGGCATCTTTTTACTGGGCAAGGTCATCTTTTTACTGGGCAAGGTCATCTTTTTACCAGGCAAGGTCATTTTTTTTACTGGGCAAGGTCATTTTTTTACTGGGCAAGGTTATTACTGGGCAAGGTCATTCTTTTACTGGGCAAGGTCATTTTTTTACTGGGCAAGGCTATTACGTCATTTTTTTACTGGGCAAGGTCATTTTTTTGCTGGGCAAGGTCATTTTTTTACTGGGCAAGGTCATTTTTTTACTGGGCAAGGTCATTTTTTTACTGGGCAAGGTCATTTTTTTACTGGGCAAGGTCATTTTTTTACTGGGCAAGGTCATTTTTTACTGGGCAAGGTCGTTTCGTCCAAAAGTGTTTAGGATTTCCGGGCCTAATGGTTAGGGTTTCAAGGCCTCACGGCCTGGTGTTTAGGGTTTCAGGGCCTCAAGGCCTGCTGTTTAGGGTTTCACGGCCTCACGGCCTGGTTTTTAGGGTTTCAGGGTTTCAGGGCCTCAAGGCCTGGTGTTTAGGGTTTCAGGGCCTCAAGGCCTGGTGTTTAGGGTTTCAAGGCCTCAAGGCCGGGTGTGGCTTGTGTTAAGTGCTTGGTACTACGGCGTGATTGGTGCATCCGAAGAGAAAATAAGTAACCTTCTATTTTCTTAATGTTATGGGATTCTTTGGGCGGGTGGGTTTTTTTCCGTTGCCTAGATACACTGCTGGCCTAGTAAATGCTCGAACTTGAGATGCTGAACCCTAAACCCTAAACCCTAAACCCTAAACCCTAAACCCTAAACCCTAAACCCTAAACCCTAAACCCTAAACCCTAAACCCTAAACCCTAAACCCTAAACCCTAAACCCTAAACCCTAAACCCTAACGAATTAAACCCAAAAGCCTGAGAGGAGCAGGCGCAGGCGGCTGTGGCGTCCCTGGACGCCAGCGAGGAAGAGGCGGTGAACCAGACACTGCAGCGGCTTGGACGCCCCAGTTGCCTGGTTTAGGGCTTAGGGTTTAAGTCTAGGGTTTATAGGGTTTAGGGTTTAGGGTTTAGGGTTTAGGGTTAAGGGTTGCTCTAAAGCCTGAACCCTGGCGAAGCACACGCGCACGAGTTGGTGTGTCTTGGCATGCCTATACCCTAAACCCTAAACCCGAAACCCTGCAGGCCTCAATCAAACCCTGAAGAAACCTGACAAAACACCCACAACACCTTGAAACCCAAAACCCCGCACACTAGACCCCTTAATCCCTAAACGGGCGAGGGGGAAGGTTGAGTGAGAGACCCGCAAACCCTCAACCCTCAACCCCCACTCCTGAGCCCCAAACCTTCGACCCTAGACCCAAACCTTTAATCCGAACCCTCAATCGCCTGCCCTTGGCCCGATGGAGCCGTTGCCCCCACCAGTTTTCATTCTTCTTTCCCCGGGCTCCACGGTCGCCCTCGCCAGGGTCGCCGCCACCAGGCTCCGCCAGGCCTCGTGCCAAAAAACAAATCCAGAAGCTTAAAAGCCTCCCAAAACCAGACAAATTTGTATTGTAAACATTGCATCTTCATCGGGGTCCAGGGGCTCCATGCTCACGGCCCTGTCTTTACGCTGTGGGTCCAAATCCTGGGCCCTTCACTTGGGCTCATTGTGGACAGCCGCCCCCTTGCACAAGACCACAAGTACGGACGGGCACGCCCCCTGGGCTGCAACGCCCTCCGCCAGCCACAAACCAATCCCCTAAACCCTGAACCCTAAACCCTAAACCCTAAACCCTAAAGGCTCCATGCTCACAGCCCGTCCCCTGTTGGGGGCCAACCCCAGACGCGAATGATCTGCACGGATGGCCGATCCACAGTTCTACAAGGCCAAATCTTAAGCCCTAAACCCCGACCCTGCACCCTAAACCCCAAACCCTCAACTCCAAACACTTAAGACCCAAAACCCCATGAAGAGGGGCTCCGGCCGCGGCTTTGCAAGATTGTGTGTTTAGGATTTAGGGTTTAGGGGTATTATGCGATTCGGGTATGAGGGTATTCGGGTTTAGGATTTAGGGGTTATGGGTATTTATGGCAATTATTCGGGTTGCGGGTATGAGTTTTAGGGTTTAGGGTTTTTGGGTATTGGGGTTTGCTTTTTTGGGGAATTCGGGTACTAGGGTATTCGGGTTTGGGCATTCTTGTGGGTATTCGTTTTTTTCCTTTTTTTGCGGGGGGCTTCGGGTATTGGGGCATTCGTGTTTAGGGGTTTGCGGGCCAGGGGTAGGTCACGTCTCTCCCCCAAAGTATGGGCCCAAGGACCATCCCATGCTTGCTCGTGGGGTCTTTCTTATCAGGGCTGGGGGCCAAGCCCTAAACCCTAAACCCCTACGTAACCCCTAAGCCCTAAACCCTAAGCCCTAAACCCTAAACCCTAAACCCTAAGCAACAAAAACAGGCTCAAACCCTACAGACCCCCTCTCTCCATCAATCTCAGCCAAGCCAGGCTGCTGTCTGCCCTCATCGCCACTCGGGCTGCAGCCATGGTTCAGGGCTCTTGAACCCCAAACCCCAAACCCCAAAACCCAAACCCCAAACCCTAAACCCTAAACCCTAAACCCTAAACCCTAAGCCCTAAACCCTAAACCCTAAACCCTAAACCCTAAACCCTAAACCCTAAACCCTAAACCCTAAACCCTAAACCCCAAGTCCAATCTTCAAAACAGTCTGTTTCTGAAGCTTCAGTCCCGCAATGTGATGGGTTCTACGAGCCGCAAGCGGCGCCACAAGTCCCTGAAGCTGCAACCCAGGGTTTAGGGTTTAGGGTTTAGGGTTTAGGGTTTAGGGTAAGCTCTCACCTCGCTCCCAGACTTCGAACCTTCAAACACGGACCCTTCTGCTGCACCCTCGACCCTAAGCAACCCCAAGTCCTTGAGCCTTACGCCCAAAATCCCTGCCCCCAAGCCCTAAGTCAGCCCTGAGCCCTGAGCCCTGAGCCCTTGAGCCCTGGAGCTCTAAACCCTAAACCCTAAACCCTAAACCCTAAACCCTAAACCCGAAACCCGAAACCCTAAACCCTAAACCCTAAACCCTAACCCTAAACCCTAAACCCGAAACCCGAAACCCTAACCCTAAACCCTAAACCCTAAACCCTAAACCCTAAACCCTAAACCCTAAACCCTAAACCCTAAACCCTAAACCCTAAACCCTAAACCCTAAACCCTAACCCTAAACCCTAAACCCGCCCGAAACCCTAACCCTACCCTAAACCCTAAACCCTAAACCCTAAACCCTAAACCCTAAACCCTAAACCCTAAACCCTAAACCCTAAACCCTAAACCCTAAACCCTAACCCTAAACCCTAAACTCGAACAGTTTAAGGCGGACAGCCAGAACTCCACGGATGGAGTCCTTGCCGAAGCCTCCATTACCACGGACGCCGGCACGCTGAAGGCGCGTGTAAGACCCGGGCATTTCCCAAGATAGGGGAATGTTTTTTGTTTCGCCCCAGCACCGTAAACCCTAAACCCTAAACCCTAAACCCTAAGCCCTAAACCCTAAACCCTAAACCCTAAACCCTAAACCCTAAACCCTAAACCCTAAACCCTAAACCCTAAACCCTAAACCCTAAACCCTAAACCCTAAACCCTAAACCCTAAACCTAACCCTAAACCCTAAACCCTAAACCCTAAACCCTAAACCCTAAACCCTAAACCCTAAACCCTAAACCCTAAACCCTAAACCCTAAATCCCTAAACCTATCTTCGGAAACCTTGCTCGAAGCTCAGGTTTTGGATTGGAGGCAATGCACGTTGAAGCTTGCTAACTGCTTTCGAACTCAGTCCGCAGACCCTTCAACCCTTCAACTCTTCAACCCTTCATCCCTTCAACCCTAAACCCCAAACCCCAAACCCTAAACCCTAAACCCTAAACCCTAAACCCTAAACCCTGAACTCTAAACCCTAAACCCTAAACCCTAAACCCTAAACCCTAAACCCTAAACCCTAAACCCTAAACCCTAAACCCTAAACCCTAAACCCTAAACCCTAAACCCTAAACCCTAAACCCTAAACCCTAAACCCGAGCCAACCAAATAGGTGGTGGCGTTGTCTGCCGAGACCATGTCGAACGGAAGCAACGTGAGCATTGGGACTGAGGAGAGAACCAGAGGGCTCAAAGGGGTGTAGGGTTTAGGGTTTAGGGTTTGGGGTTTAGGGTTTAGGGTTTGGGGTTTAGGGTTTAGGGTTTGGGGTTTAGGGTTTGGGGTTTGGGGTTCAGGGTTTGTTTAGGAAGTCTAGAGTACTGCGTATATATCTACACGGTGTAGAGGGTTTCAGGGTTTGGCTACCATGACGCCCAAGCCACTTTGCCCTTAAGGACTAAATTACTTCAAGCCTCTTGTGGGATGGCTTAGGGTCTAGGGCTTGTTTAGGGCTTAGGGTTTAGAGCTTAGGGAATGTAATGTTCTCCGTCTATTTGTGCTAAAGCCTTCGAACGTTTGAATGTTGGACTTCTCAAGCGGGATCCTCTGAACGATTTTTGGTCAATATCAAGGGGTTAGGGTTTAGGGTTTAGGGCTGTGGGTTATGGGTTATGGGTTGTTTGTGCAGTGTTTTTTCGGTCGGGATGGGAGGGTAGTCGGGGTGGAGCTAGAACACAAATAGTAAACCTACAGTTTTTGAAGAACATTTTTTTGCTATGGCCCTGTACTCTGCAGCTTGAAGGGAAGGTCAAACTTTGAACGTAATGGCTTTAGTCCTTACACCTGAACCCTAAGCCCAACCCTAAACCCTGAACCCTAAACCCTAAACCCTAAACCCTGAACCCTAAACCCTAAACCCTAAACCCCAAACCCCAAACCCCAAATCGCAGCCAGGAGGGCACCAGCATCCTTGTCCCCCAAGCGGTCTTGGCTCAAGCCGCCTCCGTCGCCGCCTTGCCGAAACTTCGGGGGCCTTGAAACTTCAGTACCATAGCAACTCCGGGCAGGCGCTATGGTTTGGGTTTAGGGTTTAGGGTTTAGGGTTTAGGGTTTAGGGTTTAGGGTTTAGGGTTTAGGGTTTAGGGTTTAGGGTTTAGGGTTTAGGGCTTAGGGCTTAGGGCTTAGGGCTTAGGGCTTGGGGTTGTAAGCTCCCCTTTGGGGTTGTTGGGCAGCTCTGGGTTAACCCCTCCCCAGGCCGGCTCAGGCATCGTTCTGCTGAGCGTCACCACGCTCTCTGAGAACATCACGGACAAGATTCGGAGCGACGATGCGAGGCGACCTTGGTTGGGATCAGGGTCTGGCCCTAGAAATTGGGATGTTCCCCCCTTATACTAACAGTCCTTCATAGGGGTTGTAGTATATACCCCTTATTATAATCCCTATTAAGGACTGTTAGTATAAGGGGGAACATTCCATTTTAGCCCTACAAACCCTAAACCCCAAACCCTTAAGGTTTTAGGGTTTCGCGCTGAAGCCAGCAAGTTTTGGAGATTTGAGGCTCCAGGTTTCGGGGTTTCAAGGTCGGGGAGTCGAGGTTGCTTGAGATTAAGGTTGTAGTAAAGTTACAAAAGCGAAGAATTCGCAAGAAGCGCAATAACAGCAATGCAAGAATTCTAGTCTGCGCGGGGACAGCCCTGCATGGCAGCATTGTGTATCGCGACATGTCTTGGCATGGTCATGTCTTCCAGGGTTCTGACAAAAGATCAGAAGAGGTTCTGGAACGAAGTTCGTAGGCCCCCAGACGCTTAACCCTGCACTCCTAAACCCTGACCCCCGAAAACCCTACACCCTCAACCCTAAACCCACAACCAACCAAGCCTGCACTTGGGAGGTTAGGCCGACGCCTGGACACCCAGGGATCTACGCTGGCTGGCCAGTCCATCAGCATCCTGGCTGAAAACGTTCGGGTGTGAGGGCCTTTTGCAGCGTTTTGCAAGAGAGTCTTTTGTGTTCTTGGTCGGGGTTAAGAGACTCTTATTTCTGTTTACCCCACCCCACAAAGGACCTCAGTGAACCCCAAACCCGTCCACGCTCGGGTGGTGTTGAGGGTTTTGTAAGGGTCTCGGGTGTATATCCAGTCCCTCCGTGCGTTAGGGTCGCGCAGACGAAGGTTCTGACTAAACCCTAAACCCTAAACCCTCAACCCGAAATCCTAAACCCTAAACCCTAACACCCCCTTAGCCGGTTGCCAGCGCGATTCTTATGCTAGGGCTCAGGGTCCATCCTCCTCTGCACCCGTCATAACCCAGTACTGGTAGCAGGCCCTGAAGGCATTTAATGAGGTTTACTAAGCCCTACACTCTCAACCCAAAGACCCCCTAAGGTTGCACCCAGAGGGGTTCCCTCAAAAATACTCCTAAACCCAAAGACCAAAATCCCGAGAGGGTTCTTTAAGAGGGTCCCCAGACCCGGGTAGCTCTCGGGTGATCATCGGCCAGGTGAGGTTCAGGGTTGAACTCTAAGCCCAAAACCTTAAACTGCTTAAAGCCCACGTGTAGCCCTAAACCCTAAACCCTAAACCCTAAACCCTAAACCCTAGACCCTAAACCCTAAACCCTAAACCCTAAACCCTAAACCCTAAACCCTAAACCCTAAACCCTGAACCCTGAACCCTGAACCCTGAACCCTGAACCCTAAACCCTAAACCCTAAACCCTAAACCCGAAACCCTAAACCCTAAACCCGAAACCCTAAAACCTAAATCAGGCCTTAACTTCCGCGGCGCCGATGGGGCCAGGCGGATCTGCAATCGCTTGAGAGCCAGCGTGTCCCGAACAGCACCGTAGAGTTTAGGGTTTAAGGTTTAGGGCTTAGGGTTTAGGGTTTAGGGTTTAGGGCTTAGGGCTTAGGGTTTAGGGCTGAGTTGTCAGGGTTTACGGTTCAAGGGTTTAGGGTTTAGGTTAAACCCTACACCCTAAACAGAAGAAGGGTTTAGGGCTTAGGGGTTAGGATATAGGGCACCAAAACATTGGCTGCGCGATTGTTCGGCACCATCGCCCTGTCTTTGTCGGGGTTTGGTTTCCCTTCTAGACCCCTTGGAATAGACAAGGGTGCCCTTGTTAGTCCTAGGATTCTCTGAAATCTCGGTACATGCACAGTGGTTCATTTTCTGTTTCGGAGCTCAGGGTTCGGGGTTTTTTGGGTTTGTTATAAGTTTTTCTGGGTTTAGGGTTCCCTGCTGCGCGATAGTGGTAGCTTGTAACATGCATGATCTCGAATACACTTGAAGTATGCACGATTGTATTCGTTGCAGTATGTAGTAAACACGGCAGTCGACAGTCGACAGTATTGCATACACTTTGGCATACTCTGTATGCAAGAAAGAGTCTACACAAGAACCAGCAGGAAAGCTACGGGTCGGAGTTTACAACCTGCAGCATGTAGCAGTGTGTCGATCTCGTGAAGATATATCGAACTGCTGTATTTATGTGATCTGTATGGCCAAGGAACCCAAAACCCGAAGCCCAAAGCCCCAAACCCTCAACCAAAAACCCTAACCCTAACCCCCTAAACCCTAAACCCTAAACCCTAAACCCTAAACCCTAAACCCTAAACCCTAAACCCTAAACTCTGTTTGGGCGCCCCAGGGGCAGGGATGGCTTCTGCGTGCAGGGCTTTGGGGGTGCTTCAGGCTGAGGCTTTCCGCCAGCGCAGCCCAGGCTTCAGTGAAGGTGCATTCCTTACATTGTAGGGTTTAGGGTTTAGGGTTTAGGGTTTAGGGCTTAGGGTTTAGGGTTTAGGGTTTAGGGTTTGGGATGTAGGGTTCATCCTCCCGTGATTTAGGAGGCATTCTTGAGTTAAGGGGTTCCGTTCTGGGAGGCTGGCGATCAACAACCTCGCAAGCCCCATGGAGCGTCTCGATGCCAACTTCGATGTAGAGTTGAGGGTTTAGAGGCTAAGGGGGGGTAAGCGATTAGAGTTTTAGGGTTTAGGTAGGTGGGGTGGCTTGGTATGTCCAACACAATGTGGGAGTTACCATTGGTATGCTTCCTACTTATGAATACCAGCACTTCCTTTATCAGTCTGATGTCACTTACTTCAGCCGTGGCTATTCCAGTGCCCTAAACCCTTCGCCTTGAGCGCTAACCCTAAACCCTAAACTCTAAACCCCAAACCCCAAACCCTAAACCCTAAGCCCTAAGCCCTAAACCCTAAACCCTAAACCCTAGAATCTGAACCCTAACCCTACAGTTGACCCGGCTTGTGTGCGGTTGGGGGTTGACCTACATTCGCCGCAAAGCCCAGGCCCTGAACCCTGCATCGGATCCCTGGACCTTAACCCTAAACCCTAAACCCTCTCTACGATATATATATATATATATATATATTTACACCTTAATTCAATTTCAGAATAAGGCCACTTCATTTTCAGAATGAGGCCGCTTTATGTTCAGAATAAGGCCGCTCTATTTTCAGAATAAGGCCGCTTTATTTTCAGAATAAGGCCGCTTTGTTTTCAGAATAGGGCCGCTTTATTTTCAGAATTTGGCCGTTTTTTGCTTTCTCAATGTTGTGGGATTCTCTGGGTGGGTGTTATATCAGAGCCGTAAATAGAACTTAACCATAACACTGCTCGACCCGGAGTGCTGAACCCTAAACCCTAAACCACCCTCAACCCTAAACCCTAAACCCTAAACCCTAAACCCTAAACCCTAAACCCTAAACCCTAAACCCTAAACCCTAAACCCAAACCCTAAACCCTAAACCCTAGACCCTAGACCCTAGACCCTAGACCCTAAACCCTAAACCCTAAGCCCTAAACCCTAAACCCTAAACCCTAAACCCGAAACCCTAAACCCTAAACCCTAAACCCTAAACCCTAAACCCTAAACCCTAAACCCCAAGCCCTAAACCGCCGAGAGTGGGGAGAGGAACTCCGACTGCCAGAGGGCCGCCTGTAGAGTGTCGCAGGGTTTAGGGTTTAGGGTTTAGGGTTTAAGGTTTAGGGTTTAGGGTTTAGGGTTTAGGGTTTAGGATTTAGGGTTTAGGGTTTAGGGTTTGGGGTTGTTAGGGTTTAGGATTTAGGGTTCAGGGTTTTTTAGGGTTTCAGTGGTATTGGGTTGGGTCGGGAAAGCAGATCTCTACAGATATTGCTGCTTTCTTGAATTGCATTCTGGCCTGCAGCTTGCGCAGGTAGGTACCAGTAGCACTTTCCGGGGCTCCTTGTATACTTGAGAAGGTTCATGGGCAGCTATGACCGAAAGACCCCAAGTAGGGCTACCACCAGCTACCCCCTTCCTTTTTACCCCAGGTAGAACTTCGCATGAACTTCCACGCCGGCCCTAAACCCTGTGCCCTACCTCTGTTCAGGGGCTTAATGTGGGTTCAGGGCTGCATGTCCTGGTCCTCTTACCCCCCCTTCCGGGGCCGAAACCTTGTTTGCTGTAGGTGCTACACTCGTGAGCCGCGCCCATGTCCAAGGCTGACCCTCGCCGTGAACGAGGAGAACGCCACCTGCGCCTACTTTGACGAGGAGCGAGAGCACTAAGAGGCTTTCGGAGTTCTCCAATCCTTCAAGGGTCCCGAAACCCTAAAGTCTGAGGGCTCGCTACCACCACGTGAGAGCCCGAAGCCGTCCGAGCGCTCAGCGAGCGACCTAACCACGCGCCACGTGCAGCCCAGGGAAAGCTGGGCCTGCTGAACGCTTTGGCAAAATGAGCACCCAGCCGTGCCGAGCCTTTGTCACACCCTAAACCCAAATAGTTTTCCGGTGCCCCCCCGGCCCCCCCCTCCCCCAGGAAGACCTAGTTGGGCCTCAGGGACACAGCGGCTTTCAGAGGTGGAGCCCATGGCGGCCGCAGAGCCGCTCTCCGGCTGGGGGTGCCCACTCAAACGGCCAGTATGCAGTGTCTGCCGACGTGGAGGTCAATGAACCTCCAAGCACCATTCCCGGCCCCAGGCGGTGTAAGGAGGGAAAAAGGGTTGCACCTCCGACAATCCAGTCGCCAAGGTCGGCTCAACCCTAAACCCTGAGAGTTTAGGTTTAGGGTTTAGACTGCGGCTCGAATGTGGGGTATTTGGAGCAGTTTAGCTTGTAATTCTGTAGGGGTTCTTGGGGTTTAGATATGTGTGAATTCCGGAGACCGCGCTACATCAAGGGGTCTTCTCAGCTCTCTCGCTTCCCCTGATCGAGATTTCCGATCTGAACGCCCAATATGAAGCCTAGAACAGCCGGGGAGAGTCGTAGTGAGGGGTTTAAGGTTTAGGATGTACTTCGGGAGCGCTGCTAGAAAAAGCAATCGTAGCAAGAACGACCGTCATAGTACTAGTGCTCGACATCGCAACGTCACCGGCCCGCCGGAGCAAAAGTTTGTCACCCCCTGAAGTTGAATGCGAACATTCAGAGAACCGGCTTTAGATTCCAGGAAGTTCTGTGGCCATGATTCTTTTGGGGTTCGGGGATCAGACTTCTCATTTTCATGCAGAACCGTCCGGCCCCTAAACCGTAAACCCTAAACCCTAAACCCTAAACCCTAAACCCTCTTTTACTATGTATATTTAAACCCTAATGACCTTCGTCGGCAAATGTTTTTTTTTTTCCACCCGGGGGGGGCCCTAAACCCTGACCCCCTTCGTCGGCAAATGGTTTTTTTCCACCCGGGGGGGGGCCCTAAACCCTGACCCCCTTCGTCGGCAAATGGTTTTTTTCCACCCGGGGGGGGGCCCTAAACCCTGACCCCCTTCGTCGGCAAATGGTTTTTTTCCACCCGGGGGGGGGCCCTAAACCCTGACCCCCTTCGTCGGCAAATGGTTTTTTTCCACCCGGGGGGGGCCCTAAACCCTGACCCCCTTCGTCGGCAAATGGTTTTTTTCCACCCGGGGGGGGGCCCTAAACCCTGACCCCCTTCGTCGGCAAATGGTTTTTTTCCACCCGGGGGGGCCCTAAACCCTGACCCCCTTCGTCGGCAAATGGTTTTTTTCCACCCGGGGGGGCCCTAAACCCTGACCCCCTTCGTCGGCAAATGGTTTTTTTCCACCCGGGGGGGGCCCTAAACCCTGACCCCCTTCGTCGGCAAATGGTTTTTTTCCACCCGGGGGGGGCCCTAAACCCTGACCCCCTTCGTCGGCAAATGGTTTTTTTCCACCCGGGGGGGGCCCTAAACCCTGACCCCCTTCGGCAAATCGGCAAATGTTTTTTTTCCACCCGGGGGGGGCTCTAAACCCTGACCCCCTTCGTCGGCAAATGGTTTTTTCCACCCGGGGGGGCCCTAAACCCTGACCCCCTTCGTCGGCAAATGGTTTTTTTCCACCCGGGGGTGGCCCTAAACCCTGACCCCCTTCGTCGGCAAACGGTTTTTTTTCACCCGGGGGTGGCCCTAAACCCTGACCCCCTTCGTCGGCAAATGGTTTTTTTCCAAGGGGGGGGGGCCCTAAACCCTGACCCCCTTCGTCGGCAAATGGTTTTTTTCCACCCGGGGGGGGCCCTAAACCCTGACCACCTTCGTCGGCAAATGGTTTTTTTCCACCCGGGGGGGCCCTAAACCCTGACCCCCTTCGTCGGCAAATGGTTTTTTCCTTTTTGGGCATAGGGTTTAGGGCTCTTAGGGCTTGGGGCATAGGGTTTAGGGCCTCAGGGCCCTGAGAGTTTCGGATTCAAGTTCGGTGAAGAGTTTTTTCAAGGTTTTTCAGAGTTTTTCAGGGTTTTTAACCTTCAATTCTGATGAGGGGGACCCCATGATCGGCCCGGGCCCCGATTTTTTAGTACTGAAATCGACGGTTCTGGGTGGGCTCTCGTTTTCTGGATTTTTGACCAAAACCGAGCCTTCACCGATCGGGGCTTCTAAACCGTAGGGTTTAGGGCCCTAAGAGCATAAAGGGCTTATTTCGGGCCTTAGATTAGATTTCGGGTTTTGGGTCCGTTAAAAATTAAATATTTTGGACCAATTGGACTTTGAGCTTTAAGCCTACCGGGAAAGTATTGAGTGAACTTTATATTTTCTCAATGTTATGGGTTTCTTGGGTGGGTGGGAATTTTTTTCCAACGCTTGACAAGCTGCTTGACTAGTGAATGCTCGGACTTGAGATGCTGAACCCTAAACCCTAAACCCTAAACCCTAAACCCTAAACCCTAAACCCTAAACCCTAAACCCTAAACCCTCAACCCTCAACCCTCAACCCTCAACCCTCAACCCTCAACCCTAAACCTTAAACCCTAAACCCTAAACCCTAAACCCTAAACCCTAAACCCTAACGCAAGAGCAGCCAGCGACAGGAGACACTGACCTGGTCCACTGAAGGCGTGGAGACCGTTGGCACCTCCTCGGGGCAGGCTTGGGCCCATAGCTGTTTAGGGTTTAGGGTTTAGGGTCTAGGGTTGCCTGTTTCTGCACGGTTGTTTGTGAAGGAACAGTAGAGCACCAGGTCTGCAAGATGAAACAGAAGGCTTGAGTCTTCAAGCCTGCTGCCCCATACCACTATTGCGATTGCGCGCACGCGATCTTAAACCCAAGCGAATATGGGGGTTTCCGAAAGTAGGGGTGCCTTGTTGGGGTCCTTATGAGAAGGGATTCCGACTATTTGGGGCCTTTATTGGGGGTCCCTTATTGTCGGCAAGCCCCCATTGAGGAGGATGTTCACCCATACAGGGGTTTCCGAAAATTGGGTGTATCTTTCTTGGAGTCCCAAGAATAAGGATTCTACTCTTTTGGGGTGTGTAAGGGGTACCCCTATTGGGGAATCGTCCGTATTGGAAGTATAAGTACGTACCCACACCAGGCACTGTTATGCATCGCCGTCAGCGTCGCAGGGAATTACCAGAACAAATACCTTATTATACATATTGCCATCTTCTCAGGCAACAACGGCGTACATCTGAAGAGAAGGAACAATCCCAGAAAAATCATGCGCAGCCAGAAGCGTTTGGGACAGTGTTCGGGTTTCCGTGTGCAATCCATTCCGTGGCAGCAACTTGATCGATACCAACATGTTGCTTTCAACAACAATGTGGCCAGTCGCAGGTCATCTGCCGCACCTCACACTTGTCCATTTTCGGAGGACCGGCAAATCTCAAAGTTGTACATAGCACTTGTTCAGAGTTTAGGGTGTAGGGTTTAGGGTTTTGGGGTTTGGGGTTTAGGGTTTAGGGTTTAGGGTGAGGGTTAACGACTTAGGTGTGGCAGCTGTGGCCACACGGGAGAACAGCCAAAGCTAGGACCTAAACCCTAAACCCTAAGCCCTAAACCCTCAACCCTAGACCCTAAACCCTAAACCCTAAACCTTAAACCCTAAACCCTAAACCCCTAGGTTTTCCGTCAGAGGGTCGAAGTTTTGCCAACCCCCCTTGGCTCTAAGCCCTCAAACCCAAAAACCCGAAAACCTAAAGCTTAAGCCCTAAGCCCTAAGCCCTAAACCCTAAACCCTAAACCCTAAGCCCTAAACCCTAAACCCTAAACCCCAGCATTCACATCCGAAGGGCCGCTTCTAGACGCACTTCCCATATGGGGGTTTCGGGTTTAGGGTTTAGGGTTTAGGGTTTAGGGGTTTCCGAAAATTAGGGGTACCTTTTGGGGTCCTTATGATAAGGGTGTTGTTTTTAGGAGTCCCCTATTTGCGTAAACTCCCACATATACCCTATCAGAACCTGAGTCCCGCAGCTGAAATTAGGGTTTAGGGTTTACGGTTTAGGGTTTAGGGTTTAGGGCTTAGGGTTTAGGGTTTAGGGTTTAGGCTTAAGGCTTAGGGTTTATCTGAGGTTCAGGGTCGGTTCTCTACATTGCACTCTATTCGGGGGGAGCCCGTCTTATTTTTGTTGTTGCGACCTCGAGCGACAGCGGCATCAGATAGCCGTGCCGCCGAGTGCTAAAGCAAAAACAAGGGTGTGTTGCACTCTTTGCCGCCCAGAATCATGTTCGGTTTCAGGATGCATCGCGGATGGCGAGCAACATGGAAACGTAGGATTGATGAATGTAAGACGTGAGGGGAGCAACAAAGCGGTGGAGGGCAGCATAAAGGCGGAGGAGGGCACAAAAAGGTGCAGGAAGACACCAAAAAGACGCACCGGAAGATGAGGAAGTGAAGCAAGAAACTGACTTGAAAACTTCGCAAGCAACTTGAGTGAGTAGTTTTTGTATTAATATCGACAGAGACAGCAAACAATGCACCTGCACTTCAGCGACATCCGAAATTGCAACGCGCCCCGCAGCAACAACAAAACAACACACTCTTACCAAATTTGGGGTGCCGTAATTAGAGAACCCATCTTTTGCAGCATACTCTCGTATGCTACGGATTGTAGTGGATAATGGATCTTGAGCCTGTGCCTATTGCTGCAACCTTGCGCTTGAAATTAGTCCTCCTGCCCCTAAACCCTAAACTCTAAACATAGTCTATCAGAGACTTGGGGGGGGGGAGGTGTTGATACCAGGGTGACGGATTCGTACGTCACTCTCAAAGTGAAGTGCAATATTTCATAAACGTCCGAGATTCCTTAAACCCTACGGCCTAGAACTCTGGTGGTTTGGGGTTGGCGGTTTAGGGTTGAGGGTTGAGGGTTGAGGGTTTAGGGTGTAGGGTGTAGGGTGTAGGGTTTAGGGTTTAGGGTTTAGGCTGGTACCCTAGACCCCACACCCCTCGAATGCCAAACTCTGCACGGCGCCCAGAGGAATTCTGGAGTTCATCCTCGCTGATGTGGCCAAGGCGTGGGAACAAGCAAACCCCATCCCCTAAACCCTAAACCCTAAACCCGAATCCCTAAACTGTATGGGGTTGAGTTTGGGCTTTATGTATTCTGATGGCTCAGCTTCGGGCCCCTGAGGTTGGAAACCCCCTGAGCCCCCAGGAGTGAAAACCGCGCAAACCCCACAGCCCTCAGACTCAAGGCCGCAACAACCTACAGCCTGAGGTTTAGGGTTTAGGGTTTAGGGTTTAGGGTTTAGGGTTTAGGGTTTAGGGTTTAGGGTTTGGGGTTAAGGTTTTGGGGTTTATGGTTTGGGGTTTAGGGTTTGGGGTTTAGGGTTTGGGGTTTAGGGTTTGGGGTTTAGGGTTTGGGGTTTAGGGGCCAGGGACGTCGTGTGCTCCTGCCCTGGACATGGTCACCTTGCTCAGGTCTTGAAGTGCAGCAGTGCCGGAGACCTCCTAAGCGCACAAGGACCGGGCTTAGGGTTTGGTGTTTCAAGGGTTCTGTGTTCTACAGCTTCATATTCAGGTTTTTGAGTCTGCGTTAGAATGTGTGTATGTGTGTGCTTTTGGGTGGACCTGGTACCAGCAAGAAAGACATTACTTCATACACACACACACACACATATATATATATATTCATTATATACATATACATATATACACATGAATATATACATGCATATATATATATATGTATATGTATATATGTATATTTTGTATTTCTATTTATAGTTATATTTATATTAATATCTATACCTATATTTATATCTATATTTATATTTATGTTTATATTTATATTGATATTTATGTTTATATGTATATTTATATTCTTCGTATGTTACAACATATACGCTACAACCCCTAAACTCTAAACCCCAGGGGTGGCCCTTTGGAGGTGTCAGCAAGCTGGCCGAACTCCAGTGGCTTGCCTATGGCACCTCCGTTGTCGTCTTCGCACCCTGGCTTTTCTAGGACGGGCACGGCTGGTGTTGAGGGTTTATGGTTTAGGGTTTAGGGTTTAGGGTTAGGGTTTAGGGTTTAGGGCGCTATACCACAGTATACTAGCATGTGCTACGGTGCGAGAGTGTTTTGGTGTGGGCAAGTGTGGAGTATTGTATGACGTGCTGTAGTCGAAAGAAGTTTTCCTACTCTTAGACTAATTTGTTTCGAGGTTGCCGCAGTGTTGTTGGTTCAAGTATCAGAAGCCGCAGAGAAGATTAGATGCATCAGAGCCGAGATGTGTACCGTGGACTTAGGTCTCATAGCTTTAGGGTATCCCTAAACCCTAAACCCTAAACCCACACTCTAAGTCCTAAACCTTCACCCCTAAACCCTAAACCCTAAATCCTAAACCTTCAACACCAAACCCTAAACCCTAAGCCCTAAACCCATAGGGTTCAGGCCCTGTAGGTTTGTTTCAGGCTTATGGTAGTGGACGTAAACCATGGCCAGATATGTAGCTCTTCCCTCCTTACCACTCCAGCTTGAATAGCCCATGAAGATTTCCCTAAACCCTAAACCCTACACCATAAACCCTAAACCCTAAACCCTGTTAGGCAATTCTAAGCTTTCGTGATTCGGGGCTTTGGGGTTAGGGTTTTTGAAAATGAGGGGCCGGGGGTTTTTGGGGTTCCTACGGTTCAGCGCGTCGGGGCTTTAGCCCCCAACGAGGAAAGTTCCACGCATCCTCCTTGGAGGTTCATGGGCACTTTTGACCCCAGCCATAACTGTACTCATAACCTACTTAGGGGACGTAGGGGCTTACAAGCGCAGTTATAATTGGGGTTATAAGAACCCGTGAACCTCCAAGTATACATTTACCCTACCCCCTCCCAAATCCTAAACGCTAGGACTGCGAAGAATGAGCCTCCAAGAATGAGGTGTCTCTCTTCATCTTCTCATTGGCGTTCTGCTTTGCGGTTCGGCTGGACACCAAGGTGGGGTTTGCCAGCCTTTCGTTGAACTGATGTAATGTGCCACCTGGTACAGGTCCCAAAATGCAGGAGGCTCCAGCTTTTGCATCAGCCCCCATAGCGGCCATAGCGCATCTAGGATGTTGGGCGCTTGACATTCCTCAAGCCGGCTTCTGCGGAATTCGGAACGGTCTTGGGGACGCGTGACGTGACTGCGCGCCTTAGTTTAGGGTCGCGTAGGGACCAATTGTGTTGGGTTTTGGGGTTTAGTGGTGTAGGGTTTAGGATGTAGGCTTTGAGATGTTAAGTCAGGCAGTGGGCTCCACGGTCCTTCAAGAGACTGGAATCTTGCCGCAGCACCCTGAGTGGCAACGACGGTTTAGGACCCTAAACCCTATACGGGGGGACAACCAAGGAAGGAAATCAACTCCCCTAATCGCCCTGAACTTATATTTCCCAGATCGAACCAAGAAACAAACAAGAACACGGATAAGAGCAACCCAGGGGGGAAGGAAAGGGGGAAGGAATCCACACCCTTACCAAACCCTAAGAACCCAGGCACTACTTTTTGAACTTGTGGCTTTCTGTTCAAGCCCATCTTGAGCCAAACATGATTTCCGGGTTCATTAACCCTTCCAACTCTCAACACTAACTCTTTTCTACAATACCAATTGCAGCTCCGCACTCCCCCTGTCCTAGGATTTCCTAGGACACATTGGAGATGCAGATCTTTTGGCCAAAAACTGCCATTAAGGCAGCAGCCAGCTGCTTGAAATGCATGTTGTGGTTTAACGTCTTCCAGGACGGAATTATAGCACATTGGCTAACCTACTACCCATAGAGAATCTCTTTTCACCATGATCCTCTCATCACTGAAGACTCCTTGGCCTTCTTCACCACAAACCGTGGTCTTCGCTACGCGAAAAGCTACTGACTTCTACTATCAGGGATTTCCATACCCTTAATAGTAACCACCACCTTGTCAGCACATTGGCTGTTCCAGCGCACCTGTCTCCAGAAAGAGAAAAACCATCCCTTCATCTATACCATCCAATCACTTCTTTTTCCGATTGTTGGCAATCTTGAGGTGAAGTTGCAGCAGAATATACTCCAGGTCCGAAACTGTAAGAACAGGATCCTGTACGCCCCTTTGAATTGAGGATACCAATCCTTCTCTCTTTGCGTCCTCAATCGCCTGGCAAGATTGACCCAGCTCTGCATTCGCAGTGGCAGACCCTGGTGCATCCGCATCAGATGGACGATCCTTTTCCTCAGGATCTTGCACCATTACCACCTCTTCTTTTTTGGGACTCTGACTTTTCTCCCTCTTCTTTGTCTTTCCACCAGCATTTGACTTTGTGCGCGTCTTCGAGGATTTTTCCACTGCAGAAGCCACCACATTGGATGTTGATCCACCCTTCTCAATGATCGTCGGCATCTTCTTCGGCTTTGGAACCATGAGAGTGTAAGGATCTTCGATAGCTGCAGCTTTCCTCTTCTTTTCTACCTTTTTCTTCTCTTCTTCAACGGCAACCTCCGTCTCCGAAGTCTCAACCACTCCTTTTTCGGCAGGAATATCCTTGCTGGACTCCCTTTCTAGGGACCTCTTTTTACCTCTTTTGGAATCCTTTTCCTCTCCCAAATTGGCTCGCTCATACCATATCCTCAGGTCATTGACCCATTCTTCCACCTCCGCGAGCGAAACCTCATACGACTTCACCACTTCGAGAAGTTCCAGCACGGTCAACATTTCAGTGGTCCACGAAACCCATTCTTGATCCATTTGGTCAGCATCTCCAGTGAACTTCAGGAGTTTGAACAATGGGTCCGCCTCTGCTCGAGCCAAATCTGGCTTGCCACCGGACAGAAATGAAATCGCCTCCATCAACAGTTCCGTCATCTTGGTCTCTTCGTCATAAACCATAAAATCCTCCTCATCATCATCGAACTGTTCAGGAGAGATCTCCTTTTCTCCACCATTTGCACCAGACTTTCTCCTTGGACCATCCCTTGGGGGCGTCCTTGGAGACCTTGGCCTCTGTTCTTCCAGCGGAACACCATGCTCGAAGACACACCTGTCACCAAACCGACACTTCCCAGACCGAGCAAACTGGACGCACCTCACACCAGTTGCATCATGCGAGAACCCACAATCCTTTCCAGCGAAACATTCTCTCCCTGCCACATAGTATTTACACCAATACGAATGTAGCACCACGTCATCTTCGGAATGGATGAATTTGCAGTCGTCACCAAATTTGCAGCGATCTTTCCCCTTGCCGAACCAATAGCAGAAGCCCTTCTTCCTCTTCTCCAAGCGCTCTGCCTCATACCGGTCCATAGGGCGATTGTGCTCTACATGAACATTGCCATGTACCTGGGGACTGCTCCCTTCACCCGACGTGCTATCAGTATTTGGTGCTTGGAGTACAGCTGGAAAACCTGGCCTTGGTCCTACCACCTTCATGATTGGTTTTCCGCCAACTCCTGAGCCATGCTGAGACGATCCAAAAACATTGAACATCTTCGTGAAGGCCTTTCTAGTGCCAATCTTCTGCACCCTTTTGATTGGACGTTTCATTGCTCCAACCTTGCATCCAGATGCGTTCAAACGACACAACCTCCTATAACCAACTCTATGTCCCTTCTTCCAAAGAGCCATAAGAATTTTAGAGGCAGTAACATTCTCCACCTCTACCTTTTCCAATGGTCCCTCACTTCCCGGAACAAACCCATCCATATCTGAAGACCTTTTCATCTTTTTTGACACCACTTCGTCGAGGTAGTCTTCCGAGATCCAGGGTAAGTTCCCCTTAGAGGAAGGATTGTCATCATTGTTTGGTCCTTCACCAGGATACCCTTTTGTGCTGTCAAAGATCTTACCAGTAGTGCGGTCCTGCATAGAGAAATTCGAAGCCACGCGGGAGTACACTGACCACAAGAAAATCCTTGTGTCCGCCAGTCTTGATGACCCACTGGATGTCTCCTCTTCCGGAGAAACTTCTGGCGCTTTGCCATCCCCTCCAGTGTCACCACTTGTCTCACCTCCAGCATCTTCAATGGGAATAAGGGATTCATTGTTCCCTTGATCAAGCACCGCATCCTCTGGTCCAAGAACTTCCAGCACCGCTGTCGAAGGATCCACCTCTTCATCAGCATCGTCGTCCATCCTTCTCCAGAGAGCCTCCAATTGGTCCGCACAAGTCGCCGCTTGAAGGAACTCCATCAACCGGGCCCTCCCGCGCTGCCAGAGAAATTCCGAAACCATCACCGACCCTTGGGCTCCAAGATTCAGGAATGGGTGAACCATTTTGGCTACCCTCGCCATAAGTTCAATGTGAACTTCCATGCCTGGACTGCGGCTCCAATCATAGGCAATTGCCTCCATAGCAGTTCCAAACTTGTCAGTATTCTTGAATTCCCCTTCCAGACCAGGAGACAACAAGGCACCCATCACCGAAAGAGGATAATTCCCCACCGCCGGCAAGCACGGGTTGTCATGGAACGAATGATGCAGGTCACTATAATGTCCTTGATCTCTCCTTTGAAAAAGGAGTGCTCCAGTCCCTAGCTGGGCATTCATATCATCCACTTGAACCATTTCAGCACATATCCTCTGTGCCATGTACGCCATTGCTGGCCAGACCGAACGATCGGTAAGACCGCGACGCATAACCCAATCAGTTGTTGGCGACTGAATCAGCGTCCTTGGATCATACACCAGAACTACCATCGCACCGTCACCCATTGACTGATCAGCATCGTCCTCCAGTGCCAGGTTCTCATCCTGTTCGCTTGCACCCTCGGATGACATGCTAATAACCAAATTTCGATCCATCTTATTGGACCCTTTTTGGCAGTCTCTTTGCCCCACCGGCAACTTGCCAACTGCAACCTTCCAATAAATCCGAGTCAGAAGGCCTTTAACCAGCAATTGCTGAAGGTCATTCCTCACCGGACAACCATCCAATATCTTCGCACCATCACCACGGAGTTCATTGCTCCCACCTTCTCCTTCTTTTTGGTCAGTCTCCTCGCCAGAAATCTGTACTGCTCCTTCCGGCGCCGTCTCCTGTCCAGCCACTTCTTGCCCAGGAAGAACTTGAGCGCTTTCAGAGACATTCACCTGTCCAGCAACACCTTGCCCAGGTAAAACCTCATCCGTGGAGCCCACCGCCAGCGAACCAACCATAACTGAACCATCCCTTGCTCTTTTTTGAGACCGTTCAGCTCGACGAGAAGGTTGTGGTAGCGAAAAAACTTGTGAAGTCACTTCTTGGCGGGTCTCCCCCCGCGACGCTTTGTCGCGCCCTTCGCCAAGGTGAACCGATTTTTTCGGCCCGTCATTGGAGCCTACTTTGCGGAACATTGCCACGATTCGCAGTTCTCTGTGAATCCCTTTCTTGCAAAAAGATTTCCTTCAGGCGTTGTACGGCATTGGTCTCCTCTTCGCTTGAATCGCTTGAGGAAGCGGCGTACGAGACCAAAGCCTCCGCCTGTTCATCATCATCCACCACATCTGCCCATGCTCTGCTGAACCGATACGACAACCCACCACGAGGCTTCAGTTCCAGTGGCTTCGGCTTTTCCACCACTTCCGCCGGTTGCACTCGTCGTTGTGACCGAGAGCGTGGCACCTGTCGCACCTGTTTTTTGTCCAGCAAGGGCCTTCCCCTTCTCACAGGGTTTGATCTTGACCGATACTTTTTTGTTGGTGGATTCACCGGCGGCATTCCAACTCCCACCAACCGCAGCTTCTGTACGCACAACGGAGACCTCTGCGCAAGCGTCCAACCATCACGGTACCTGACCTTATCAAAAAGCTCCCGATAGGAGCCTCTCGGCATGGTTTTTGCACCGGAGTCTTCAGCTTCACGCACCTGAGTGAGGGTTCGCACCGCCGCTCTTCCAGTTCCTTTGTTCCCAGAAGATTGTTGTACCCGTACAGATGCATCAGAAGGAACTGCCTTTTCCGGTCCTCCCGGGCGATATCGGACATCACCAACCAATTGCAGAATTTTGCATGCGGTCACTTTGTTGATCCCTTTGTCAACCAAATCTTCCACAAAGATGAACTCTTGCAAGTCCGACACATTGGTCACACCAAGCGTAATCATCACCTCACTTACATGAGGGGTATACACCCACAGGTGTGCGTTGCGAGCCATCCAATTTTCAATTGGCTCCTCCGGATTTTGAAGCCGAGTACCAGTGGATGCAGCCACCGAATTCTTTTGTTCATCAGCTTCTGCTTCATCCAGAATACCTTTTTCACCATCTTTTTGTGACACATTGGTCATTTGCAGCGCTTTTGGTGCCGAGGATGAGGAAGATTCAGCTCCCCCACTCGCAGGTGGCTGAAAAGTGCTTCTATCCGTAATCTCCCATCCTCTCTCTTTTTCAAACCGGACCTGATTGGCCACCTGTACCAAGTGTTTCAGGAGCGTCAGCCGCTCCTCTGACATCTCGTCATGGGAGTACTTGCAGAAATTTGACCCTTTCCGGCAACGTCCTCTGAGGTAATAATCGAAACAGCAATGGTGGAACCCTGCGTCCCTTAGTGACTTCCTGGAAGCATTGTCCCAAGATTTGCCGGGCTCCCAAGTCCCTTCCAATGCTATGTCATCGTTGTGAAGATACCTGCATGTAGTCCCATATTTACAACCACCTTGATTGTAATACAGACACAGACGACCTTTTGGCTCACCCGACGTAGGTTCACCCTTTGATGCACCTTTGCCAAAATTGTACTTGGCCCGGAAGGCTAAATCCTCCCGCTCCTGCTGTGCCTCATCCACTGTACCTTCCTCTGTGGGAGGGTCACCGATGTTCCCATCCTCATCATCAGCTTCTTGGCTATTCTTTGGATCAGTTGACCCTCCTCCTGGCCAACCTTCACCATAACGACGATGCTCATAGGAACACTCATCACCATTGCGACACCTTCCCCGATTGAAGAACTTGCACAGCTTGCTGTAACCAGGTGACAACACAGTCTTTGGAGTCATGTGAGCCTTTTTGTACTGGTCAGGGTCCATGTAGGCTTCCATTGGCCTGTTCTCCCTTTTGCTCATGGATTGCACTGCACCATCAAGCTCCTGCAAAAATAGCTTGGTGTCCAACCAAAGCGCGTTCCAAAACTCATCTTCCCCTTGATTCAGCACCGTTGCCACCGCTTCACCCACAACTGGTCGAGTAAATCTCCTTTTTCTGCATGCCAGTTCGAAAAGCGCGTTGTGGTACTGTTTTCGGGAAAAAGTGGTTAACTTCCCCAAGCCTGTACTTTCTGTACCATCAGGCTTCCAACCATCATTTTGCAAGATGCCATACGCGCGCCGAGCTTCCGCATTGAGGAATGCCTGATCTGCAACACACTCCTGTAAATCTTCCATCGGGCGACCCAACAGCATCCCAGTAATTTTGCCAACATAGGCTTCCTCTTCGTTTCCATTCTCCAGAAGAGCTTTGTAGATCTTTTCTCCATAAAGTTGCCTTTCTTCTCGTTCTTCAGAGGATAACTCCTGTACCACAAGCTCTTCATCGGATTGCTCTTCCTCCTGTTTCCAGTCCCATTGACCGTTGGAATCTTGGTACCATTGACCAGCATACCATGAATTCGTCCACCACGTACTCCAGCCGCTGGGTTTCCATTTCCGCAGCGTTGAGGAAGAGTCCTCCACGTCCTCTTCCAAAACCAGAAAGGTGTCCAAGATTATGGTACCATCATCTTCCACTAGTTTCACTGTTCCATTGACAGTATCACCAAATCTGAACTGACACGTATTGTTCCCTTCTGCAGGAATCAATACATTCAAATCACCAAGGTCCAAAAAGGCTCCATACCCATTGATGCAGCGCACTAGACCCATGATCTCATCTCCCTCTTGATAGCAATGTGTCCCAGGTGATTCCAAGGCTCCCGCTCGGGGCACTTTCTTTGCCTGCTCTTCAGAAACCACCTCTGTATCATCGGCTCCTGGCGCATCCTTTGTCTTCACCTGGGTCACACTGCTCGTCCTGCTCCACGAGTCCCACAAGCTCATCTTTTTTGTGCTCCTGGACTTCAGGACCTCCCTTTTTCTCCGCCAAAGGCTTTGCCTCATCTGTTGTAATTCGCTCGGTGTCGACTTCCGGCGAACTTCCAGACGGCAACACTTCTCCCTTCATGGGAGTGGACCCATCATTGGAGTCCTTTGTCACACCTTCTGCAGCAGGCAAATCTTCTTCCACTGCAGGGCAATTGAGTCGATCATCCACGGCAGGCACGCTTTCTTCCACCGCAGGCTCCTTTGGTTCCATGGCTTCCAAAGGAGAATTTCCACCATCGTTGACCACAGCTGCCTCATTGGCTCCGGTGTAGCCCTTGTCATTTCGTTCCTCGCGGCTAACTTCAGGTTGCACCAGTGCGTCCACCTGTGAATCTCCATCATGAGCTGCTGTGGAGACCTGCGCCCCATTGTTGCAGTCGCCCGTGGAACGTAACACCATATGCACCTCAACCCGTGCTTCCTTCGCACTCCAGGTAATATCTGGCGCATCGACCCGCGCATCATTGGCGCTCCAGGCCTCATTTTTCAGATCTTCCGTGTCTCCAGCTATTCCAGAAGCTTCTTTTTCTCCTTGAATGGCAGGAATCTTGGCACCAAACGAAGAGACCTCCTCAGTCGCAACACACGACCTTTTCCCTCCGTCTTCCAAATCTCCAGGACCACATTCCTGAACGACAGGTACCACATCCACCACTCGCTCTTCTGCAGCCGACACAGTTCCGATCTCCACATTGGGAATCTTTTCTTCTGGACCTACCGATTCCACCGCTGCCACACCCTCAGAAAGTGCTCCCATTCCTTCCCGATCCAGATGTTGAGCTCCAGCGATGTCTGCTCGGTTTCCAGGAATCTCCTCCTCATCAGGAGAACCCGAGGTCGGGGCGTCACCACCAGCCCTAGGACCGCTATCCCTGATAGTAGAGGAAAAATCTTTTTCACCTAAACTATTTACACTACCCTGGAATGCCCTCGTAGACTCAGTCTTCGGAGTAGAGGATGAAGAATCCAGTGCCGCCTCCATTTCCAGCTCATTGCCCGAAGGAGACCCAACCACCTCGTCACTCTTCATCTTTTCACCTACCACCGGCAATGTCCACTTGCTTTCCTGCGTATCCAGGCAGTAATAATATTGTCTCCCATCTTCATGGAGGTGCCATTCCCACGTTGTCCCATCGCACGCTTTGATCAGATGCTCATCTTTCCGAAAACCATCCCTTTCAGAGACCTGACGCATCTCGTCCTCTTCTTCTGACAACTGTTGCAACCTCTCAGCCTCCATCTGTAGGATCTCCTCCTCCCCCATGGCGTATTCAGCAGCAGGTGCAGCTTCAAAGCTGTCCGCACCCTTCTGTTCGTGACCGCTTCCACCACCTTGGGAACTCGAAGATGGATCCCTTTTGATCTTGTTCAGAGGCCTCCTGGCCGCTTGCAGCACTTCTCCAATCAGATCGGTCTGAGACTCTTGGTCTACCATTCGACCCGAAGTCGAAGTCGACGGCTGATACCCGTGTTTGTGCAACACTCGTAAAACAGTCACCGCCATTTCACGATCTATACCACCAGTCGCGTCCCAGTTCCTTTTCTCACCAGGCTTTGGCGATACAGAGACAGCGCGTCCTTCAGCTTCAGTATTGCTAACCATATCCACATTGGGATTCATACCCACATTGGGGCTTTCTGCAACCAAGGCTTCTTCCAGATGTTCTTCAGCGCCGGGAATCACCTCTTCCAACACCGATCTTTCACCCAGAGACTCAGCTGCACCATTTCCAGCTCCACCATTTTGTCCACCATCCGAGGCAGGTTGGAGCCATCGCTTCGGAGAAGGCATTGCTTCTTGATCCCAAAAACCTTGAAAGAACACTTAACCGCAGGGAACCTAATTTGGGCTCATAACCTACGGGGGGACAACCAAGGAAGGAAATCAACTCCCCTAATCGCCCTGAACTTATATTTCCCAGATCGAACCAAGAAACAAACAAGAACACGGATAAGAGCAACCCAGGGGGGAAGGAATCCACACCCTTACCAAACCCTAAGAACCCAGGCACTACTTTTTGAACTTGTGGCTTTCTGTTCAAGCCCATCTTGAGCCAAACATGATTTCCGGGTTCATTAACCCTTCCAACTCTCAACACTAACTCTTTTCTACAATACCAATTGCAGCTCCGCACCCTAAACCCTAAACCATAAACCCTAAACCCTAAACCCTAAACCCTAAACCCTAAACCCTGTAGGCTTGGGGGTTCCGAAGCCACCTGAGCCCAGTCCTGAGACTCTGACAGCGTCAGCCCGGAGACCCCGATATTCTGCAAATTGGCTTAGGGTTTAGGGTTTAGGATTTAGGGTTTAGGGTTTACGATTTAGGGTTTAGGGTTTTAGGGTTTAGGGTTTAGGGTTTAGGGTTTTAGGGGTTTAGGGTTTTAGGGGTTTAGGGTTTTAGGGTTTAGGGCTTAGGGTTTAGTTCAGGGTTGAAGCCCGAAGTCCTCCAAACTTTAAGGGGGGGAGGGTCTCGAGGCTTAGGCCCGCGGACGCATTAGGTGGAGCAGATCGAGGATAAGCGGTGCGAGGGAGGGGGGGGGGGGGTGTGTAAAGACCGGCACGTTAAACCCTAAACTACCCGAAACGCCTACTTCCTAAACCCCAAACCCTACGCCCCCAAAATCGGCCGCTATGCAGGTGAGCAAGGCCATACCCTGGGAGCACAAGGATTCCGCACTTCTCCTTAGCGGGGACCGCGTTGCTGAGGGTTTAGGTAGGGCTTAGGGTTTGAGAGCCCCAAAACCCTACCGGGTATTTCTTAGTTTCGTCGACATGCTTCAGGGATGCACGATGGCTTCAACAGCCCTGGCAAGGCAGGTGGGGAGTATATGCTTGGGTCCGTGGTCCTCGGTCCTCAACCCTAAAGCCTTAAATCCCAAAGCCTGACTGTTCAGTTTCGTGGAAGTGTTGAGGATGCACTCAGGGTTTAAGGTTTAGGGGTTTAGGGTTTGAGGTTTCTGCACGGGTTCTGATCCTTGAGTTGTATGCCACCTTGACATTCGCACCTTCTGTCCGCTACGAAGAGGAGGTTGAGGAAGAGCTTTTGAGGTGGGTGGTCTAGGGTTTACTTGGAGGTTCATGGCACTTAGTAGCCCAATTCCAACTGTACGTATAACCCAATTATAACCCTATGAGGGTACTTAAGGGGCTTATATGTGGGTTATGACTACGCTGATAATGGGTTACTAAACCCTAAACCCTAAACCCTGAACCTCCAAGTAGGGTTTAGGGTTTTGGGTATACATAGAGACCATGCGATCGATGCGGGGAAGGTGGAGAGGATATGCACACTACCTGTCCACACCCAGCCACACAGCCACAGCTCTGGCTTGGGTTTAGATATGGCCACTTGGGTTTAGGGTTTAGGGTTAGGGTTTAGGGTCTAGGGTCTAGGGTTTAGGGTTTAGGATTTAGGGTTTAAGCTTTAGGGTGACTAAGTTGGTTTCTGGTCCAGAATATCGTCACTTCCCTACATGATGCTCCCTTTTTGGGTTTGCCATTCTCAGGCGATTCCTAGTACCTACGGCACCTTATAAGGGACCATGACTCAGCAGAGAAATGACCATCATGGGTAGGATCAGTGGAGTCCTAAGACCTGACCTTAAATATGTGGTGGGCAGGTCGACATAAGTTTTCTCTGGACACTTTTTTTTGTTCAGGGTTTAAAAGGTTTGGGGTTGAGTAGGTTCCTTATAGTTTACCGTCCGAAGCGAAAACCCAACCCCAAACCCTAAACCTTATCCGGTTCTGAGCTTATTGAACCCAAAGGTTTAGGGTTTAGGGTTTAGGGTTTAGGGTTTAGGGACCCAAGGCTTCAGTTTTGCTTGTGCTCCCCCACGCACAGGAGCCCGTGCTGCTCCGGACGAAGGCGTCCGTCGCCGAAATTCTCGAGAGACTCGGGCCGAAAGAGCCGCATCCGGCGGGCTGGCCGGGTTCGGGTTTAGGGTGTAGGGTTTCGGGTTTTAGGGTTTAGGCGGGTTTAGGGTTTAGGGTTTAGGTTTAGGGCTCGAACCTGATTCGAAATACATGCACTATGCTGAAATGCATCCGAACTTTGCCTCCGCAAAAGCGGTGAAAGAGTGCCTTCGGGCCAGACGCGTACCATGACTCTCCAACAAAAGTCCTCAGTGAAAAACGAGGAGGTCTTTCGCCGCGTGGAGAAGAACGTGTCTGAACGCGAGGTGAACAGGGACTCCAGTGCAAGCGCCACGGGACTGTTGAAGGGGATAAAGTTTGTGGTTAAGGCTTAAGGCGGGCCGCACTACCAAGAATTATGAATTTGACTCGACCGAGAACATCACAGTGGACAGGACGCAAAAGGAGTTCAGCCAGGAGAGGACGTGGTCGTCGACGACAACAGGCCCGTTCCAGCTCGTGGAGCAGTGGTTCGTTGCCGAAAACGAAAAGATCTCCATCCCCACCGGAGAAGATTTCAACAGCGAAGTCGGAGGAGCGAGCCACACTGGAGATTCAGTTCGAGGAGCCCACTGAGGAGGAGATTGCCCAGGCCAACTTCATCAAAGAGCAAGAGGCCTACCTCGAGAAAGGCTACAACGACGCGATGAACCTCGAGGTGCATCACGACGACCGTGGCACTGAGTCCCGCAACAGGATGCGCAAGATGCTTGAATGCCGGCCCAAGTTTGACGAGTCGAAGGAGTCAATGGCCGGCTTCATCGCCCGTTATGAGGAGTATTGGAAGGACCGACGTAATGAGGCCTGGAACCTCTGCGCTTACTCGCCCTCAGGAGTCGCTGGTCAGATTATTGACGGGCGCCCGGCCCCACCTAGGTTGGCCTCCTGAGCCCGAGGTAGGGTTTGGGGTTTAGGGTTTAGGGTTTAGGGTTTAGGGTTAATTAAGGGTTTTATGGTTTAGGGTTTGGCCATGAAAACTGCTGGCCATGCATGTGGGGCGTGTGAAAGATGCGTGCAGGCAACCCGCACGCCTGGTTACAGTGCCGGCTTGTACAGTGCCGGCTTGTCTCTCCTAGCCGCCTGGCTCAGCGTCGTGTAATAGCGGTATCGATCTTTTGGGGGGGTTTTTGGCGGGTGCCTGGAGGCTTTTTGACTTTATAAGTTTCGTGCCGCCCTCACACGCAGTGGTCGGCTTGTTCTGGACAGCTTGTACAAACTTTCGGGAGGCTCTGAAAAGTAGCTCCCCTTCAGGGTTCCCAAACGTGACCCAATAGTAGTATAGGGTTTAGGGTTTAAGGTTTAGGGATTAGGGTTTAGGGTTTAGGGTTTAGGGTACTATTGGGGGCTAAAACCTAAACCCTAAACCTAAACCCAGGGCCCAGAAGCCACGGGCCAAACGGTCCTGCTCCCCAAGCACGCAGGGTTTAGGACTTAGGGTTCATCGGACCTTTGGCAAGATATTTTGTGCTAAAAGGTGTGACAAGGGGGCCCGATACTTGACCATGTGTCGGACACTGCGGCCTCGTATACCAAACCATAAGCCCTAAACCCTAAACCCTAAACCCTAAACCCTGAACCCTGAACCCTGAACCCTAAATCCTAAACCCTAAACCCTAAACCCTAAACCCCTAAACCCCGAAGGCCCTAAGCCCCTAAGCCCTAAACGACATTCATAGCTGGGCCCAGGACCGAGGATGACAAGGCACTGATGCTGTTGGATTTTGGGGATTTGCCTCCCCCCCCCCCCCCCCCCTCCCCCCCCCCCCCCTCCCCCCCCCCCCTCCCCCCCCCCCCCCCCCCCTCCCCCCCCCCCCCCCTCCCCCCCCCCTCCGCCCCCTCCCCCCCCCCCCCCCTCCCCCCCCCTCCCTTCCCCCTTCCCCCTCCCCCCCCCCTCCCCTCCCCCCCCCCCCTGACATGTTGTAAGTAGGGATGATGGGGTTAGGGTGGCTTCAGGGTGCAGGGTTTGGGGCTTAATTGGGGGTGAATATCAGGCCCCTAGAGCTGAGGTCAGTCTTTGCAGTGGTGTAGGGTTTAGGGTGCGAAAAAGTCTAAGAGGTTAGATTGACACCATATTTAAACCCTAAACCCTAAACCCTAAACCCTAAACCCTAAACCCTAAACCCTAAACCCTAAACCCTAAACCCTAAACCCTAAACCCTCGGAACTGCACATGAACCTTCCAGTAGGATGCAGGGTGTAGCGGATCTAGTGCTTAGGTCTGAGACCTCCCGACCCTAAACCGCGATTTGCAGGCCCTAAACCCTAAAGCCTAAAGCCTAAAGCCTGGCCCTAAGCCCTAAACCCTAAACCCTACACCCTAAAACCCTAAACCCTACACCCTAAACCCTAAATCGTAAACCCTAAACCCTAAACCCTAAACCCTAAACCCTACACCCTAAACCCTAAACCGTAAACCGTAAACCGTAAACCCTAAACCCTAAACCCTAAACCCTAAACCCTAAACCCTAAACCCTAAACCCTAAACCCTAAAACGAAAGCAATCTCGGCCCATCTTGCAATGTCCGGTATCCTGGGTCGATTTGGTTTAGGGCTTTTCGCGTAAGCTCCCTCAGCCCTTGGAAAAATGCAAACTAGGAGCAGTGCAGAGAGCCCGAAGACCCCTAAACCCTGAACCCTGATTGGGACCCTAGATCCCTAAGCCCCAAGTCCATGAACCCAAAACCCTACACCCTAAACCCTACACCCTACACCCTAAACCCTAAACCCCCTAAACCCTAAGCCCCAAGACCATGAGCCCAAAACCCTAAACCCAAGACCTGCCGAAACCGCTTGGGCCGAAGCCAGGCGAGCAAGTCTTGCTGCGACCGCATGAAGGAGAATTTGGAGAGTTCCGTGGAGTGGTTTTTGTGCTCCGGCTAAAGATTTAGGGTTTAGGGTCTTAGGGTTTGGGGTCTTAGGGTCTCAGGGTCTTAGGGTCTTAGGGTCTTAGGGTCTTAGGGTCTTAGGGCCTTGGGGCCTTGGGGCCTTAGGGTCAAAATTCTTAGGCTCTTAGCGTCTCAGGGTCTTAGGGTCTTAGCTCTAAACCCTAACTTCTGGTACCTTCCCAAAAGCCTGCCTCTGACAGTACATTGCTTCGTGCGGTATAGTGTCCCACGGAGGAATTGGGTAGGCTTTGGGGATATTTCATACTTTCCGTTTGCTGTTGGCTTGAGAGGATTTGGCTGAGCAATATGTTCATATATGCTTGAACTTGCACGGCCCACGTGTTTTCATTTTATGAGGGTAGAGGGCTGCCCAATGCAGGTTGCACACCTAGACCTCTGACTTTGCTCCTGCAACCCTTGGTTTGCAAGAAAAACCCTACGCCCTAAACCCCAAGCCCTAAGCCTAAACCCCAAACCCTAAACCCTAAACCCGAAACCCTAAACCCTAAACCCTAAACCCCAGGACCCCAAGCCCCAAGCCCCAACAAGCCCTCAGCCCGGAGACCCCAAGGTGGGGAATTGGCCTTTGCTTCGGCTATGAAAACTTGGCAGAGGTCGTGAAGGAGTTCCTTCCGAATGCTTCCATATGGCAGGAGTTTAGGGTTTAGGGTTCAGGGTTTAGGGTTTGGGGTTTAGGGTTTAGGGTTCAGGCTGCAAGAGTTTAGGGCTTTGCGCAGCCTGGGGTTCACGGACGGTGTAGGCACATGTTTTGGGCTCGTAGCTTGGGATGTTTAGGCTGATGGTTTCAGCCCTGAACATTCGAGCGTCTGTCAGAAGTAGCGTAGTTTAGCCCGAAACCCTAAACCCTAAACCCTAAACCCTAAACCCTAAACCCTAAACCCTAAACCCTAAACCCTAAACCCTAAACCCTAAACCCTAAACCCTAAACCCTATATCCTAAACCTAAACCCAAAACCCTATCCCCTAAACCCTAAACCCTAAACCTTAAACCCGAAACCCTAAACGCCCGGTTAGGGGGTACAGACTGCTGGACCCTTGCTTCCAGCAGCGTGGTTTGCTACTGGGAGTCCCGGGTCGCAACCAGTTACAGTCCCAAGAACACCCCAAAACGTTTGAAGTGTGAGTGTAGGGCATATGGGGGTTTACGATAACAAGGGACCCCCAATATAGACCCCCCAAATAGTAGGACCCCCTTATCATCAGGACCCCAATGGGGCCGAAAACCCCCATATCGGAAACTGACAACCCTAGCTAGCGTTGGAAGTGGAAGCAGTAGTGGCAGTGGTAGCGCTAGAAGAAGTAGCAGCGGCAGTGGCAGTGGCAGTAGCAGTAGCAGCAGTAGCAGCAGTAGCAGTAGTAGCAGCAGTAGCAGCAGTAGCAGCAGTAGTAGTCGTAGTAGTCGTAGTCGTAGTCGTAGTCGTCGTCGTAGTAGTAGTAGTAGTAGTAGTAGTAGTAGTAGGAGGAGGAGGAGGAGGAGGAGGAGGAGGAGGAGGAGGAGGAGGAGGAGGAGGAGGAGTAGTAGTAGCAGCAGTAGCAGTAGCAGTAGCAGTAGTAGTACTAGGAGGAGGAGGAGGAAGTGGTGGTGGAGGAGGAGGAGGAGGAGTTCCTGGAAGTTTCGATCGCAGTACTGAGGCTCCAGAGTCGACGGTCAATCGTTGCATCACCACGATCCACGCCCACAAGACCGGCACCTCCAGAGATAGCATCCTGGCAGTGTGTTTGAAGAATAGGGTTTAGGGTTTAGGGTTTAGGGTTTAGGGTTTAGGGTTTAGGGTTTAGGGTTTAGAAGTCTACCAAGGTAGTCAAGCCAGCTGCAAGACACTGATTCGACACTGACTCAACACTGTGATTCGACACTGGCTCAACTGCGCCTTCTCGTTTCTTGCGGTGCACTAGTGCTGTAGTGGCCCCAGTATTGCATGGTACAGCAGAGGGGGTGCCTGCTTACTGGGGCATTGCATGCAGTTATTCTCTAGCCGACCTGCAGCATCTAAAAGCAACTTCGTGCACGTTGCGTCATCAGCAAGGTCCTTGCAACCGGCAGAGGCATGCCAAGAGTACACAGGGACCATAAGGGAATCTTATCCCTAAACCCTAAACCCTAAACCCGAAACCCGAAACCCGATACGGGGGCAACCGAAAGGGAACAGGGAAAGAAACCAACCCTCAGCAGTCGCCTATATGGATTTCCCAGATCGAACCAGAAACAAGAACACCCACCCCTACGGGGACAGGATAAGGGAGAAGGGACGGGACTACTCCAACCCGTTAAACCCAACCCCAGGCGTACGTACTTTTTCAACAAAAGCTGACGGCTCTTGGCCATCTTGAGCCAAATAAGATTTCCGGGTTCATTGACCCTTCCAACCCTCAACACTAACTCCTTTCTACAATACCAATTGCAGCTCCGCACTCCCCCTGTCCTAGGATTTCCTAGGACACCTTGGAGGTGCAGATGTTTTGGCCAAAAACTGCCATTAAGGCAGCAGCCAGCTGCTTGAAATGCACAATATGGTTTTACGTCATCCAGGACGAAATTATAGCACATTGGCTAACCCACTAACCACAGAGAATCTCTTTTCACCATGATCCTCTTATCATTGAAGACTCTTTGGCCTTCTTCACCACAAACCGTGGTCTTCGCTACGCGAAAAGCTACTGACTTCTACTATCAGGGATTTCCATACCCTTAATAGTAACCACCACATGGTCAGCACATTGGCTGTTCCAGCGCACTTATCTCCAGAAAGAGAAAAACCATCCCTTCATCCATACCATCCAATCACTTCTTTTTCCGATTGTTGGCAATTTTGAGGTGAAGTTGCAGCAGAATATACTCCAGGTCCGAAACTGTAAGAACAGGATCCTGCACGCACCTTTGAATTGAGGATACCAATCCTTCTCTCTTTGCGTCCTCAATCGCTTGGCAAGATTGACCCAGCTCTGCATTCACAGTGGTAGACACTGGTGCATCCGCATCAGATGGACGATCCTTTTCCTCAGGACCTTGCACCATTACCACCTCTTCCTTTTTGGGACTCTGACTTTTCTCCTTCTTCTTTGTCTTTCCACCGACATTTGACTTTGTGCGCGTTTTCGAGGCTTTTTCCATTGCAGAAACCACCACATTGGATGATGATCCACCCTTCTCAATGATCGTCGGCATCTTCTTCGGCTTTGGAACCATGAGAGTGTAAGGATCTTCGATAGCTGCAGCTTTCCTCTTCTTTTTTACCTTTTTCTTCTCCTCCTCAACGGCAACCTCCGTCTCCGAAGTCTCAACCACTTCTTTTTCGGCAGGAATATCCTTGCTGGACTCCCTTTCTAGGGACCTCTTTTTGCCTCTTTTGGAATCTTTCTCTTCTCCCAAATTGGCTCGCTCGTACCATATCCTCAGGTCATTGACCCATTCTTCCACCTCCACGAGCGAAACCTCATACGACTTCACTACTTCGAGAAGTTCCAGCACGGTCAACATACCTGTGGTCCACGAAACCCATTCTTGATCCATTTGGTCAGTATCTCCAGTGAACTTCAGGAGTTTGAACAATGGGTCCGCCTCTGCTCGAGCCAAATCTGGCTTGCCATTGGACAGAAATGAAATCGCCTCCATCAACAGTTCCGTCATTTTGGTATCATCGTCATAAACCATAAAATCCTCCTCGCCATCATCGAACTGTTCAGGAGAGATCTCCTTTTCTCCACCATTTGCACCAGAACTTCTCCTTGGACCATCCCTTGGGGGCGTCCTTGGAGACCTTGGCCTCTGTTCATCCAGCGGAACACCATGCTCGAAGACACACCTGTCACCACAACGACACTTCTGCCGAACCAATAGCAGAAGCCTTTCTTCCTCTTCTCCAAGCGCTCTGCCTCGTACCGGTCCATAGGACGATTCTGCTCTACATGAACATTGCCATGTACCTGGGAACTGCTCCCTTCACCCGACGTGCTATCAGTATTTGATGCTTGGAGTACAGCTGGAAAACCTGGCCTTGGTCCTACCACCTTCATGATTGGTTTTCCGCCAGCTCCTGAGCCATGCTGAGACGAGCCAAAAACATTGAACATCTTCGTGAACATCCAGATGCGTTCAAACGACACAACCTCCTATACCCAGCTCTATATCCCTTCTTCCAAAGAGCCATAAGAATTTTAGGGGCAGTAACATTCTCCACCTCTACCTTTTCCAATGGTCCCTCACTTCCCGGAACAAACCCATCCATATCTGAAGACCTTTCCATCTTTTTTGACACCACTTCGTCGAGGTAGTCTTCCGAGATCCAGGGTAAGTTCCTCTTAGAGGAAGGATTGTCATCGTTGCTTGGTCCTTCACCAGGATACCCTTTTGTGCTGTCAAAGATCTTACCAGTAGTGCGGTCCTGCATAGAGAAATTAGAAGCCACGCGGGAGTACACTGACCACAAGAAAATCCTTGTGTCCGCCAGTCTTGATGACCCACTGGATGTCTCCTCTTCCGGAGAAACTTCTGGCGCTTTGCCATCCCCTCCAGTGTCACCACTTATCTCACCTCCAGCATCTTCAATGGGAATAAGGGTTCATTGTTCCCTTGATCAAGTACCGCATCCTCTGGTCCAAGAACTTCCAGCACCGCTGTCGAAGGATCCACCTCTTCATCAGCATCGTCGTCCATCCTTCTCCAGAGAGCCTCCAATTGATCCGCACAAGTCGCCGCCTGAAGGAACTCCATCAACCGGGCCCTCCCGCGCTGCCAGAGAAATTCCGAAACCATCACCGACCCCTGGGCTCCGAGGTTCAGGAACGGGTGAACCAATTTGGCTACCCTCGCCATAAGTTCAATGTGAACTTCCATGCCTGGACTGCGACTCCAATCATAGGCAATTGCCTCCATAGCAGCTCCAAACTTATCAGTATTTTTGAATTCCCCTTCCAGACCAGGCGATAGCAATGCACCCATCACCGAAAGAGGATAATTTCCCACCGCCGGCAAGCACGGATTGTCATGGAACGAATGATGCATATCACCATAATATCCTTGATCTCTCCTTTGAAAAAGGAGTGCTCCAGTCCCTAGCTGGGCATTCATTTCATCCACTTGAACCATTTCAGCACATATCCTCTGTGCCGTAGCCGCTATTGCTGGCCAGATGGTACGATCGGTCAGACCGCGACGCATAACCCAATCAGTTGTTGGCGACTGAATCAGCGTTCCTGGATCATACACCATAACCACCATCGCACCATCACCCATTGACTGATCAGCATCGTCCTCCAGTGCCAGGTTCTCATCCTGTTCGCTTGCACCCTCGGATGACATGCTAATAACCAAATTTCGATCCATCTTATTGGACCCTTTTTGGCAGTCTCTTTGCCCCACAGGCAACTTGCCAACAGCAACCTTCCAATAAATCCGAGTCAGAAGGCCTTTAACCAGCAATTGCTGAAGGTCATTCCTCACCGGACAAACATCCAATATCTTCGCACCATCACCACGGAGTTCATTGCTCCCACCTTCTCCTTCTTTTTGGTCAGTCTCCTCGCCAGAAATTTGTACTGCTCCTTCCGGCGCCGTCTCCTGTCCAGCCACTTCTTGCCCAGGAAGAACTTGAGCGCTTTCAGAGACATTCACCTGTCCAGCAACACCTTGCCCAGGTAAAACCTCATCCGTGGAGCCCACCGCCAGCGAACCAACCATAACTGAGCCATCCCTTGCTCTTTTCTGAGACTGTTCAGTTCGACGAGAAGGTTGTGGTAGCGAAAAAAACTTGTGAAGTCACTTCTTGGCGGGTCTCCCCCCGCGACGCTTTGTCGCGCCCTTCGCCAAGGTGAACCGATTTTTTCGGCCCGTCATTGGAGCCTGAAGAACCACTCTGCGGAACATTGCCACGAATCGCAGTTCTCTGTGAATCCCTTTCTTGCAAGAAGATTTCCTTCAGGCGTTGCGCGGCATTGGTCTCCTCCTCGCTTGAATCGCTTGAGGAAGCGGCATACGAGACCAAAGCCTCCGCCTGTTCATCATCATCCACCACATCTGCCACGCTCTGCTGAACCGATACGACAACCCACCACGAGGCTTCAGTTCCAGTGGCTTCGGCTTTTCCACCACTTCCGCCGGTTGCACTCGTCGTTGTGACCGAGAGCGTGGCACCTGTCGCACCTGTTTTTTGTCCAGCAAGGGCCTTCCCCTTCTCACAGGGTTTGATCTTGACCGATACTTTTTTGTTGGCGGATTCACCGGCGGCATTCCAACTCCCACCAACTGCAGCTTCTGTACGCACAGCGGAGACCTCTGCGCAAGCGTCCAAGCATCACGGTACCTGACCTTATCAAAAAGCTCCCGATAGGAGCCTCTCGGCATGGTTTTTGCACCGGAGTCTTCAGCTTCACGCACCTGAATAAGGGTTCGCACCGCCGCTCTTCCAGTTCCTTTGCTCCCAGAAGATTGTTGTGCCCGTACAGATGCATCGGAAGGAACTGCTTTTTCCGGTCCTCCCGGACGATATCGGACACCACCAACCAATTGCAGAATTTTGCATGCGGTCACTTTGTTGATCCCTTTGTCAACCAAATCTTCCACAAAGATGAACTCTTGCAAGTCCGACACATTGGTCACACCAAGTGTAATCATCACCTCACTTACATGAGGGGTATACACCCACAGGTGTTCGTTGCGAGCCATCCAATTTTCAATTGGCTCCTCCGGATTTTGAAGCCGAGTACCAGTGGATTCAGCCACCGAATTCTTTTGTTCATCAGCTTCTGCTTCATCCAGAATACCTTTTTCACCTTCTTTTTGTGACACATTGGTCATTTGCAGCGCTTTTGGTGCCGAGGATGAGGAAGATTCAGCTCCCCCACTCGCAGGTGGCTGAAAAGTGCTTCTTGTGCGAAATTTCCCATCCTCTCTCCTTTTCAAACCGGACCTGATTGGCCACCTGTACCAAGTGTTTCAGGAGCGTCAGCCGCTCATCTGACATCTCGTCGTGGGAGTACTTGCAGAAATTTGACCCTTTCCGGCAACGTCCTCTGAGGTAATAATCGAAACAGCAATGGTGGAACCCTGCGTCCCTTAGTGCCTTCCTGGAAGCATTGTCCCAAGATTTGCCGGGCTCCCAAGTCCCTTCCAATGCTATGTCATCATTGTGAAGATACCTGCACGTAGTCCCGTATTTACAACCACCTTGATTGTAATGCAGACACAGACGACCTTTTGGCTCACCCGACATAGGTTCACCCTTTGATGCACCTTTGCCAAAATTGTACTTGGCCCGGAAGGCTAAATCCTCCCGCTCCTGCTGTGCCTCATCCACTGTACCTTCCTCTGTGGGAGGGTCACCGATGTTCCCATCCTCATCTTCAGCTTCTTGGCTGTTCTTTGGATCAGTTGACCCCCCTTCTGGCCAACCTTCACCATAACGACGATGCTCATAGGGACAACCATCACCATTGCGACACCTTCCCTTATTGAAGAACTTGCACAGTTTGCTGTATCCAGGTGACACAGTCTGTGGAGTCATGTGAGCCTTTTTGTACTGGTCAGGATCCATGTAGGCTTCCATTGGCTTGTTCTCCCTTTTGCTCATGGATTGCACTGCACCATCAAGCTCCTGCAAAAATAGCTTGGTATCCAACCAAAGCGCGTTCCAAAACTCATCTTCCCCTTGATTCAGCACCGTTGCCACCGCTTCACCCACAACTGGTCGAGTAAATCTCCTTTTTCTGCATGCCAGTTCGAAAAGCGCGTTGTGGTACTGTTTTCGGGAAAAAGTGGTCAACTTTCCCAAGCCTGTGCTTTCTGTACCATCAGGCTTCCAACCATCATTTTGCAAGATGCCATACGCGCGCCGAGCTTCCGCATTGAGGAATGCATGATCTGCAACACACTCCTGTAGCTCTTCCATTGGGCGACCCAACAGCATCCCAGTAATTTTTCCAACATAGGCCTCATCTTCGTTTCCATTCTCCAGAAGAGCTTTGTAGATCTTTTCTCCATAAAGTTGCCTTTCCTCTCGTTCCTCTGAGGATAACTCCTGTACCACAAGCCCTTCATCGGATTGCTCTTCCTCCTGTTTCCAGTCCCATTGACCGTTGGAATCTTGGTACCATTGACCAGCATACCATGAATCCGTCCACCACGTACTCCAGTCGCTGGGTTTCCATTTACGCAGCGTAGAAGAAGAGTCCTCCATGTCCTCTTCCAAAACCAGAAAGGTGTCCAAGATTATGGTACCATCATCTTCCACTCGTTTCACTGTTCCATTGACAGTATCACCAAATTTGAACTGATATGTTTTGTTCCCTTCTGCAGGAACCAATACATTCACATCACCATGGTCCAAAAAGGCTCCATACCCATTGATGCAGCGCACTAGACCCACGATCCTATCTCCCTCTTGATAGCAATGTTCCCCAGGTGATTCCAAGGCTCCCGCTCGGGGCACTTTCTTTGCATGCTCTTCAGAAACCATCTCTGTATCATCGGCTCCTGGCGCATCCTTTGTCTTCACCTTTGGGTCACACTGCTCGTCCTGCTCCACGAGTCCCACAGGCTCATCTCCTTTGTGCTCCTGGATTTCAGGACCTCCCTTTTTTCTGCCAAAGGCTTTGCCTCATCTGCTGCAGTTCGCTCGGTGTCGACTTCCGGCGAGCTTCCAGACGGCAATACTTCTCCCTTCATGGGAGTGGACCCATCATTGGAGTCTTTTGTCTCACCTTCTGCAGCAGGCAAATTTTCTTCCACTGCAGGGCTATTGAATTGATCATCCACGGCAGGCGCATTTTCTTCCACCGCAGGCTCCTTTGGTTCCATGGTTTCCAAAGGAGAATTGCCACCATCATTGACCACAGCTGCCTCATCGGCTCCGGTGTAGCCCTTGTCATTTCGTTCCTCGCAGCTAACTTCAGGTTGCACCAGTGCGTCCACCTGTGAACCTCCGTCATCAGCTACTGCGGAGACCTGCGCCCCATTGTTGCAGTCGCCCGTGGAACGTAACACCATATGCACCTCAACCCGTGCTTCCTTCGCACTCCAGGTACTATCTGGCGCATCGACCCGCGCATCATTGGCGCTCCAGGCCTCATCTTTCAGATCTTCCGTGTCTCCAGCTATTCCAGAAGCTTCTTTTTCCCCTTGAATGGCAGGATTCTTGGCACCAAACGAAGAGACCTCCTCAGTCGCAACACACAACTTTTTCCCTCCGTCTTCCGAATCTCCAGGACCGCCTTCCTGAACGACAGGTACCACATCCACCACTCGCTCTTCTGCAGCCGACACAGTTCCGATCTCCACATTGGGAATTTTTTCTTCTGGACCCACCGATTCCACCGCTGCCACACCCTCAGAAAGCGCTCCCATTTCTTCCCGATCCAGATGTTGAGCTCCAGCGATGTCTGCTCGGTTTCCAGGAATCTCCTCCTCATCAGGAGAACCCGAGGTCGGGGCGTCACCACCAGCCCTAGGACCGCTATCCCTGATAGTAGAGGAAAAATCTTTTTCACCTAAACTATTTACACTACCCTGGAATGCCCTCGTAGACTCAGGCGTCGGAGTAGAGGATGAAGAACCCAGTGCAGCCTCCATTTCCAGCTCATTGCCCGAAGGAGACCCAACCACCTCGTCACTCTTCATCTTTTCACCTACAACCGGCAATGTCCACTTGCTTTCCTGCGTATCCAGGCAGTAATAATATTGTCTCCCATCTTCATGGAGGTGCCATTCCCACATTGTGCCATCGCACGCTTGGATCAGATGCTCATCTTTCCGAAAACCATCCCTTTCAGAGACCTGACGCATCTCATCCTCTTCTTCTGACAACTGTCGCAACCTTTCAGCCTCCATCTGTAGGATCTCCTCCTCCCCCATGGCGTATTCAGCAGCTGGTGCAGCTTCAAAGCTGTCCGCACCCTTCTGTTCGCAACCGCTTCCACCACCTTGGGAACTCGAAGATGGATCCCCTTTAATCTTGTTCAGAGGCCTCCTGGCCGCTTGCAGCACTTCTCCAATCAGATCGGTCTGAGACCCTTGGTCTACCATTCGACCCGAAGTCGAAGTCGACGGCTGATACCCGTGTTTTTGCAACACTCGTAAAACAGTCACCTCCATTTCACGATCTATACCACCAGTCGCGTCCCAGTTCCTTTTTTCACCAGGCTTTGGCGATACAGAGACAGCACGTCCTTCAGCTTCAGCATTGCCAACCATATCCACATTGGGATTCATACCCACATTGGGGTTTCTGCAACCAAGGCTTCTTCCAGATGTTCTTCAGCGCCGGGAATCACCTCTTCCAGCACCGCTCTTTCACCCAGAGACTCAGCTGCACCATTTCCAGCTCCACCATTCTGTCCACCATCCGAGGAAGGTTGGAGCCATCGCTTAGGAGAAGGCATTGCTTCTTGATCCCAAAGATCTTAAGACAACACTCAACCGCAGGGAACCTAATTTGGGCTCATAACCTACGGGGGCAACCGAAAGGGAACAGGGAAAGAAACCAACCCTCAGCAGTCGCCTATATGGATTTCCCAGATCGAACCAGAAACAAGAACACCCACCCCTACGGGGACAGGATAAGGGAGAAGGGACGGGACTACTCCAACCCGTTAAACCCAACCCCAGGCGTACGTGCTTTTTCAACAAAAGCTGACGGCTCTTGGCCATCTTGAGCCAAATAAGATTTCCGGGTTCATTGACCCTTCCAACCCTCAACACTAACTCCTTTCTACAATACCAATTGCAGCTCCGCACCCGAAACCCTAATCATTCCGACCCCCTATATTACTGTGGGAGAAGTGATTGGTGCACACCCCTCACTGAGGCATCGACGGTGTCAAGAAGATGTCCAAGTCCTTTTCTCGAACCAAGTCCCTGTCCACGTCAAATGTCCTCGAGCCTGCAGATGATCCTGTCGCTTGATTGGAAGAACCCCCGAAGGGTTTAGGGTTTAGGGTTTAGGGTTTGGGGTTTAGGGCTTACGGAACCCCAAGCCCAAGCCGAAAACCCACACACTGACAGACCTGGTGTTGAAGTTTGGCATCCCAAGGATCCTATTCGAGACCAAATCTAAACTGGAGCCATCTGCCCTGAACTGGGTTCTTGTTCAGGAACTGCAGATCAGTTACAATACTTTGGGAGGTTCCCCCTTTATACTAACAGTCCTAGGGATTATCGTACCCCTCGTATAATCCCTATGAAGGACTGTTAGGAAAATCCCAAACAACACTTCTCAATAACAACCCGCATTGTGGCAACACTTTTGGCAAGGTTCCTTGTCAAGAACCCCGTGAAACTTAGCGAACCTCGGTTACTGTAAGAAATATATGTTAAAACTTATACTTCTATTCTATGCTATTCTATTCTTTTCTATTCTCTTCTCTTCTGTTCTATTATTTCCTATTCTCTTCTACTTTAGTTCAATTCAATTCAGTTCTGTTCGGTTCTAGTCCGATGTATGCATACTTATACATGTATATGTACAGGTTTTTATATTCTACAACATGTTTCATGTTGTATATTGGATACACACACACACACATATATATATATAAGTATATATATATATTAATATATATATATATGAGTATATTTTTTGTTGTTACCATACTTTGAAGTTATAGCAGCCCATAGTTTATGGCCTCTTTGGGTGTTAAGACGCTCTCTTGCAGAGACCAGCAGTGGAGGCACAACCCTGAGACCTGAACCCGAGCACGAAACCCTAAACCCTAAGCCTGAAACCCTAAACCCTAAACCCTAAACCCTAAACCCTAAACCCTAAACCCTAAACCCTAAACCCTAAACCCTAAACCCCAAACCCTAAACCCTGAACCTTGAGGTGCCTGAAGACATGGGAGACAGGACCAGGGTTTCTGGACATGGAAAAATTCGAGGGTGTACTTGGAGGTTCAGGGTAGGGTTTAGGGTTTAGGGTTTAGGGTTTAGGGTTTAGGGTTTAGGGTTTAGGGTTTTGGGTTTAGGGATTAGGGATTAGGGATTAGGGTTTAGGGTTTAGGGTTTAGGGTTTAAGGTTTCGGGTTTAGGGTGTAGGGTGAAGGGCGTCTCGCCGCGCAGCGGCAGGAAGTACCATGTGGAAATGGCGCCCCTGCACACCCAGGGGGTGTGGGGGGGCTGCATGTCACGCGAAGGCATTTATTATCAATGCAGTCCAACAATTTTCATTGGTGCTGGTTTCTTTCCCCCCGCCCGCTGTGAGCTTTCACAGGCCACCACCCAAACCACTGCCTTTTAAGGTTTAGGGCTGTCGCCCTCAGTTCCCCACCATTGCTTCAGGAGGGCCAGAGGGCAGGGGATCAGGGGAGGTCAAGGGGGCTCAGGGAAGGCATGGGCGAGCGACAGCTGGCCATGGGCTAGGCCTTGCACAGCACAGCCCTAGGGGCTGTATTCGACCAGTCTCCAATGGCACCACCCATTGTCCAACCACGAAAAGTGTGTCTCGCTGCCGGAATTAGTTCGGGGGTCCAGGCACCCTAGTAGAGGGTGGGTACGGCCTCAGCAGGCCGGAATTTAGGTTCGGGGTTTAGGGTTCAGGGTTCTTAGTAGCCAATTAGAAGTGTACTTATAACCCACTTGTAAGCCCCTTAGGTACCGTAATCGGGTTAGAGATGGGCTATACGTTCAGTTATCATTGGGTTACCGAAGCACCCTGAACCTCCAATTAGGATTCAAGGAGTTTAGCATTGATGTCCGTAGGGGTGCGTAGTTTTTGGGGCGAAGACCCGAGTCTTTCGCGCGAGTTTTGCTCATGCCCAACAGAACATCCCCCGAATCGCGAAGGTGCAGGCACCGGAGAGACGAACATTGGATGAGCATTCATTTTTTGTTATTATGAAGCGCTGCCACCCACCACCATGAGTACTGACTGGGCTTGCGAACCATTCCATTGTCACAGACGCTGATCCCAAACCGACGCGTGCATGCTCTAACACGACGTCCATCACACAGTGCACCCTCGCAACTGATTGCCCTCCAACTCCACCTGCATGCCTGCCCTCCAGATTCGCCCTCCGCGGATTTCGGAATCTGAATACGCGACATAGAATCGCTCCAGGATGCGACGGTATGCAGCGTTGCATTGCGGACATATCATCGTGCCTGACTCGTCGGCCATGGTGATGCCATCTGTCTGGGTGCCCAGATCCCCCACAAGGCTGCACTGAAAGCTTCACATGCTCGTCGGTGTCGATGTCTCTGACAGCCCTGGCGTCCGAATCATCTGGGGGTCGGAATCATTACGAATAGTATTCCCTCATGGTCCCTACTATATTATCATACTATAACGTCCCCTAAATCCTATTCTATTTATGAAGGCCCCTATATTAACGTGTTTCATGCAATGAAAGTCCCTTTGACGCGCCTGACTTCTTCTAGGCTTTCGTAGCTGCCAAGGTGACATGTGACTCTGAGATCCATGCGGTTTAGGGTTTAGGGTTTAGGGTTTAGGGTTTAGAGTGCAGGGTTTAGGGTTTACATTCCTATTGCCTGCTAGCACAGCTACAAGGCCCTGTGAACCCTTAGGGCGAGCACCAGCCCGAAAACAGTGGGGTTTTCGTTGGCTCGCACCCACAAATGGATCTGCTCATGCAAAAAACGGGGTTTAGGGTGTAGGGTACCCTAAACACTAAACCCTAAACCCTAGACCCTAAACCCTAAACCCTAAACCCTAAACCCTAGACCCTAGACCCTAGACCCTAGACCCTAGACCCTAGACCCTAGACCCTAGACCCTAGACCCTAGACCCTAGACCCTAGACCCGAGCCCCGAGACCCTAGACCCTAGACCCTAGACCCTAGACCCCAGACCCTAAACCCTAAACCCTAAACCCTAAACCCCAAACCTTAAGCAACCCCACACCCTTAAAACCTTGGGATGCAAAGGAGATCTACCAGTTTTTCCAAGCGCGCTTTGCCGTCCAGCATCGTGGGCAAGATGGACCCTGGGGTGGCACTTCCCAAGTTTAGGGTTTAGGGTTTAGGGTTCAGGGTTTAGGGTTTAGGGTTTAGGGTTCAGGGTTCAGGGTTTAGGGTTTAGGGTTCAGGGTTTAGGGTTTAGGGTTTAGGGTTCAGGGTTGTTACTTTCCAGCACACCTGTGCACTGAAACTCCTGAACTCTGCGGGGTTTTGGGGTTTGTAGCGCTTGAGAGTTTAGGCCCTAAAGTGCCCTAAACCCTAAATCCGACCTGCCCAAGTTGGGTACCGTGGCTTGCAACGGTTTGGGGTTTCAGGGTTTGGGTCGAGGGCCCTGCACCCCAAACCCTAAACCCTAAACCCTAAACCCTAAACCCTAAACCCTAAACCCTAAACCCTAAACCCTAAACCCTAAACCCTAAACCCTTAACCCTGAACCCTGAACCCTAAACCCTTAACCCTTAACCCTTAAACCCTAAACCCTAAACCCATCCCCCCCTAAACGTCGAGCTCCGGGGTTGAAACCTTCAGGGATTGGGGGTTGCAGGGTCTGGGGTCTCACGCTTCGTGGGTGATAGTGCTAGGGGATAAATCGGGGTTGGAAAGCTTAGAGTTTAGGGTTTAGGGTCTAGGGTTTAGGGTAACATGGAGGTTTTACGATATTGGGGGTACCTTATTGGGGTCCAAATTTTTTAGGGAATCCTACTAATTTTTTGGGTCCATTCTAGGGGCCCACTGTTTTCGTGAGCCTTCACATGGAGCGTAAGAGCAAGACGCATCCCCTACACCCTAAACCCTAAACCCTAAACCCTAAACCCTAAACCCTAAACCCCTAAACCCCTAAACCCCGAAAGCCCTTCAAGTCTGTGCCCTCAATGGCGCCGCGGGTTGGGGATCCTATATGGTCAGACCTCCGATTTCTGGGTATGATAGAAAGGAAACCGTATCATAACAGGGACTGCGCCCTAACTCCCGCCTACCGGGTAGTATAGGACCCCAGAACTTCAGGTTTTTGGGACACTTGCAATGAAGTCCAGCTTAAATCCTAGAGGGCTTGCGTCTACACTGCAGTCACAGCAGGACGCCTTGTTTCCTCATGCTGCCCTCAGAAGCAGGTGCGCAGTCTACAGATGTAGCTTCTCCTTTGCTTCAACGGTTTCTACATAGATCCTTCTGATCCGTGCAACCGTGTAGTTTATCGAGACCAGGACGCGTTTCACTCCAAGCATAGCGTCGGCTTGCTTGACTACCAGGCAGGAATTTGCAAGCTCATGGGGGTGGGGGTTCTTGGGCTTTGCAGTTGCGCAGTTGACCGATTTCAGGGATTTTTTGGGGTTGAAGGATTCTTAGTTGTCGGTTTGGCAGGTAGTATCCCAGAGCTTTGACTTGCTTCGACCAAAGCTGATCGTTGAGCCTTCCAGTCCTCCCTCTTCTTATGGTTTAGGGTCTGGGTTTACCCTAAACCCAAAACCCTAAAGTCCTGCTGAGGGCTCGCTACCAAGACTCGAGAGCCCCGAAGCTGTCCAAGCTTCGCGAGTGACCTATGAGCACTGAACGTGCAGCCGAGCTAAAGCTGGGGCTGCTGGACGCTCCAAGGCAAGGCAAGGCCCACACTGGCCGTCAAGGCGGTCGAGCCATGCAGACCATGTCTGAGCCCAGACAATTTCTGATCCTTTTGGAAAGCCCCCCAATTTGGCTGAGGCAGTCACAGGGCTTTCTGCTCTTAAAGCAGTCGGTTTGGGTCACACCCCGGCTTGACTTTCCGCCGTTTCAGCCACCCTAATGCCATCTGGTGGTTTGTACTTCGTCTTGGTAACAAGCTTTAAGGTCGTGCCGAAACCCTCTCATAAAAAAATCAATCGCTTCACTTATCCCAGATAGGTCTTTCTTGAATGTAGGCCTTCCATCGTAGTGACTTCTGTCGGCTTGTTGTGGATCACACTCCGGATGCTCGTGCGGCTACATGAGGATAGTGAATAAAAGAAAGCCCCCAAATTGGGGGGACCCCAGGATGGGGGACCCCTAGACAACGGGTGCCAAATGCCTTCAAAAGAGCACGTCGGGACGCTGCGCTGGCCCGGTCGAGGGGCAGCGGTACCTCACCCCAGGATCGGAATCCTTTCGTTTCTGGATTTTTGGCCCCTAATTGGCCTGGACCAACAATGACAATTCGGCTTTAGAATAGCAGTGTTCGGGCCCAAGCTGCGACCCCGTTGAGTTGCCTTCTAAAAAGTCCACGAGCAAGCCTCTCAAAGGCCCCAAGTTTCATTTCTGGATTGTTTGGGCTCCGAGACGCTGGCCCGGTCGAGGGGCAGCGGTACCCCTGCGGTAACCCAAAGCCGTTTGTGTTGACGGTAGACGAGGGATGGCAAACGCCTTCAAACGAGCACGTCCCGATTTTGATGATGCAGCCTAGTTTTGGTCCAGGGAGGACGAACACTAGGGCAGCGCTTGCCAAAACTCCATCCCTTTGCAGCCCTGCCCCCGCGAGGCTCAGATCTGAAACAGCGTGCGCAGTGGTACAGCAGAACGTAATTGTAAACGCTTGCGCGCGCCGCCTCGGCAGCCGGGCCGGCCAGGACAGGAAAGGAGGAAAGAGGGTTTCGCAAAAAAAGGGGAGGAAGGGCAGCGTGGGGGGGGGGTGCGGGGGGTGGGGGGGGGGGGGGTGGGGGGGGGGGGGGGGGTGGGTGGGTGGGGGTGGGGGTGGGTTAGGGGGTTTTGAGGCACTCCCCCTGTAGGAGCCACCGACAGCCGGGACCCTCCACGGCATCGGTTTGCGGCTCCTCCAAGCGATTGGGGGGGGTCCCACAGGGCGGGGGGGGGGGTGGCATCAGAAAATTTTGCATGGGGGGAAGGGTTGGGTTAGGGGGAAGGGGGTCTGCTTGTTCCAGACGCTTCTCGGCAGGAAGCCGAGGCGAACACACTCCCTTAACCCTAAACATACCCTAAACCCTGGACCCTAAACCTGACGGTTTCATTCCCTTGCGGGGGGTTGGATGACACTAGTCCAAGCGAAGTAGAGCTTGCTGTGCGAGTTCAGCCCTGGTCCCACGGGAGCTGTCCTTAGGCTCCGGCCCCACGCTACCTTCAACCCTAAACCCGAAACCCAAAACCCAAAACCCTAAACCCTAAATAAACCCTAAACCCTCGGATCAGGAGATCCAGGAACACGGGGCAAAAGCCGTCAAAAGCTTTGTCTCGAGCAGCTCGTGCTGACGGCCGCTCTTTGCTTGCGGGGCTGCTCGAGACTAGGGTTTGGGAGGTTACGGTTTGGGAGATTAGGGTTTAGGGTTTAGGGTTTAGGGTTTCGGGTTTAGGCTTTACTGTAGGGTCTAGAGTTCAGTGTTTCGGGTTTTAGCCCAACGAGGTTTTGGGGTTTGGAGTTTAGGAACCCTCCGCACTCCAACTTGGGCTAGACAGTCACGTGGGACTTTTTATATTTTCCGTTGTGGGTATAAGAGAATCAAATTGGCGAATCTTTTTCAGAGGGCTTCACGGGCCATCCTAGTAAGTATGTTGTCCTTGAGTTATGTGCGCCCTTGCGGTTAGCCTGAGGATGCTTTTGCTGGATCTTAATGTCTTAATGCGTCCCAAGCTTCAACCTCTACACCCCAAACCCCAAACCCACGGTCGGAGTTTTTCCAGATCTCCCCCCAAACTCCAACGTTATGCAGGTTGGTGGTATCTTTAAGTAGGGTTTCTGTTTGATAGGGGCATTGTACTCGGAGTTCTTGCTAGGGTATCTAATCTAGGGGCTATAGTAAGGCATACGGGTATCAGATAAAGAGGCCACCCGCCTGTATTCCTCCGACCCCTTAAGCAAGAAGGGTTTGCTTCGATTCTTATTTAGCATCTTTGAGGCCCACCGCTCCGCGCGGATTGAAAGCCGGAAGCCCAAAACCTTGGAGGGGATTCGGGATTAGGGATTAGGGAATAGGGTTTAGGGTTTAGGGTTTAGGGTTTAGGGCCAGTTTAGGGTTTGGGGTTTGGGTTTACTTGGAGATCCTCCAGAGCCACCGCAAGCCAGCCACAGTGCGAGCGCCTGGCGCGTGCGCCACCCACTACACGTGAACCTTCAAGCACTACTGACTAGAAGGGCAATAAAGCCCACCAGGTAAGCCCTAAACCCTTAAACCTTAAACCCCTTGCACACTTAAACCCTTTCAGTCTTTCACCCTAAAACCCTTAAACCCTTAACCCTCCATCCAAAGACCCTTCCATACTAGACCCCCTGAACCCTCAACCTTAAATTCTACACCCAGGCACCTGGA